CACTCCTACAGGCATCCTTGGATCCTCCCGACACATTCAGGCTTCACATTGAAGACATCAAAGATCCTTTGTTTTTTAATTACGTGAACCATGACCTTAGCTCTGATACCAATGTTGAGGGAGAAATCGGGCCCAATCTAGAGTTGATGGACCTTAAACAGAAGTTAGGAATCAATTTTAACCCAAAAGCTATAGCTATCAGGTATTGACCCAAAACTCCTATTTAAACTCATCATTCTTTCTTATCTTATCCGACGTAGGACTATACTAACATATTAATCACCTCAACAGTTTATACTTTGGAAGTAACTAATAATTATGGGTAATATGTATATCTGGTAAAAGGGAAAAAAACTGCACAATTCTAGAGCTATAAGGAAAGAAGATTTTTACCATAATTTCTTTACTGTATGCTTAGGATATCAGAAATACCACTCCAAATCCACATTGAATACATCTGATATACTATTTAAATAGTTTTAGAATAATTTTGATTTAAATTCACACGTTTACTTTAGTGTTTTAAGGTGTTTTATGACACAAACAAGCATGTTATCATAGCTAGGCAATTTTATAAGCTGTATTTCCACATATGAAGCTATGTATGTAGAAAAGTGTACTCATCATAACGTAACCCAAGCTAGATAGGACTCAATTTCGCTTATAAGATTGAGTATAAACTGTGTAAAGTTAAGGAGAGACTATTCCGAAATTATAACTAGAAAACTATTCTTTTTTAGATGGATACGAGGAAACATGAAAGACTAATTTAATTACTCTATATATTTTCAGTCAAAAAATTAAATTCATACTTCACTTTTGCTAACATATCTAGAATGAGACCGGTCTGAGAATAAAAAAGCTCAGGACCGACAATGACGATGAGTATGAAGACACCAGATTCAAGAAGTTCTGCTATGAGCACGGGATCAGAATGGAGAGAACCATGCCTGGCACACCTCAACACAATGGTGTAGCTGAGCGCAAGAATAGAACGTTGACAGAGAGCCAGAAGCATTCGGATACAGTCAGGCCTACCGAAGCAGTTCTGGGCAGAAGCAGTCAACACAGCAGCTTACATAATCAACCGAGATCCATCGGTTCCATTAGAGCACAGAATACCAAAAGAGGTATGGTGCGGAAAGGAGGTAAAACTCCCACATCTCATAGTTTTCGGTTGTGTAGCTTACGTGCATATTAGTGATCAAGGCAGGAATAAGCTTGATCCCAAGTCTAAGAAATACACATTCATCGGGTATGGTGAAGATGAGTTTGGCTACCACATTTGGGATAACAAAAACAAGAAAGTGATCAGAAGTAGAGATGTGATATTCAACGAGAAGGTGATGTAAAAAAGACATGCACAAGACAGATAACTCAGAGAGCGAGTCAACATTTGTAGATGCAGATGATGTCCCGAGTAACCTCTCGGAAGAACCCAATGCAGAAGGTCCTCAGCCAGAAGAGTCTGTTGGACAGAATGGTGCGCAGGAGCCCGACACACCAGCTCCGATATTGAGGAGATCTACTCGTCCTCCTATGCCTAACAACAGATACATGAATTATATGTTGTTGACAGATGGATGGGAGACTGAAAGCTATGATAAAACTTATCAGAGTGAAGATGCGAGCAAGTGGGAGCTTGCCCTGAAAGAAGAGATAAAATCTCTAATCTCCAACTAGATATGGGAACTAGCTGAGTTGCCCATGGGAAAGAAGGCACATCACAACAAGTGGTGTATCGAGTGAAAAAGGAACATGATGGTTCCAGAAGATACAGAGCCTGACAAGTTGTCAAAGAATTTCAACAGAAGATCCAAGGAAGTAAGAATCTAGCGAATATGTTGATAAAAGCAGTGACCTTTCAGAAACTAGAGTTGTGCGCAACTTCAGTTGACCTTCATGCATAGATGATGAAGACGGAGCTACACAGGAGGAGGGGCTTGTTGAGATAGTCTGCTGACGACGATTTGATCTCCAAGTGAAAGATTGTTGCATGGTGTAGCCCAAACTGAGCTCCTGATGGGTCGACCCATCAGGTGTTGTTGGTCAACCTATGAGGAGAAGTGAATCAGCGAGCGTGCTTCGGCAAGCTCCAGACGAGGCGACCCCCACGACTTAGGCGAGGTCTGGGCTTTGAGGGCGAGATTGACGTAAAGCAGGTGAGGTCGAGAGGCGGTCAGGCGGGGTCGACTTTAGGCGAGCTCGGGGTTAAAGCAGGCGACTTCGTGCAAGCGAGGAACTTCTTCAGGCGAGGTTGGGGGGTTCTTCATGCGAGCTCAAGCGTGGAATTCAGGCGGGGTCGGCGTTCCAGGCTGTCGACAGCTATCGCCAGCTGTAGCTAGGGTTCCCTTATAAAATGGAACCCAGAGCTCCTCTCCTCAGTGCTTCTTCTTGCGTTTTTCTTCAAGGCAGCGACGACCCTTTTGAGCTCCGATTTTTTCCAACGCTCATTGATTGTTGAGGGGAGAAATTAAAGGGGGTGGCTCATGATTCATTTTCTCCAGCCCTCTTAGAATTAGAGGGGAGATTTAAGAGGAGGGTCCTTTCCCCAGCTCTCAAAGATTGATGGGGTATTTAAGAAGAGGAAAATCGTACTGTAGCTACAGTAACGATTACATTTATTGAGAGATCTTAAGTTTGAGATCTGTTCTTGCATTGTAATTTCTTATTGATTAATAAAAAAAATAATTGTGTGGCTCCCGAGGACGTAGGCAAGTTTGTCGAACCTCGTAAATTTTGGTGTACTTTTCTTTATACTGCGTTTCTGTTGTTTTAGAGGTTTAGCGTAGCCCCGGAGTTTTTCCCAACAAAAAACAAGTGTAAGAATCTCCTCGATCTGCTACCAATAATGAGCAGCTCGTCTCCTAATGACTTGAATGCCACCCCTCATCCCCTGCTATGATCAGCTCTCATCGGAGCCATCCCCATATCCTTCCAAGAATTGCTCCTCTTAATATACACTCTAAGCTTGTTGGTCGAAACCTCGAGCGAGTACAGCTCGTTGTTCGCCACCGCAACGAGGGGAGGAGAAGGAGAGGGCCAGCTCAGCGCGCCTTCCATCATGTTGGGAATCAGCTTTCATGATTTCTTCCGATCATGTTGGGAATCAAGGTTCCAAGATTTCTTCCCCAGGTCGTAAAACTCTCCGCAGCTGAGGTTCTCGCCCCTCTCGTCCTGCCCGCCTATGACGTAAAACTTGTTATCCATGTAACAAACCGAACAAAGCTTCCTGCGACGTCTCATCCTGGGGATCTCATCCTAAGCCTTCCTATTGAGGTCGTATATCTCAGCGGTGTTCAGGACCTCGAGCCCCGAACCGACCCCGCCGACGACGAAAGCAATGCGGTGCAATCAGTGGAGGCGAACAAGCACCGAGGGCTTATCATGTCGGGGCCTTTGAACCACCGGTCAGAGGACAACTCATACCTCCATACCACCGAACCGTCGATCCCCTTGCCGGAAATGAGGAGGTGGGTCCCTACGCAGACGGACTCCTTATCGAACAACGAGAAGCAAGGGTCGCAGGGGAGAGTCGAGAGGCTGCGCCGGCCGAGATCCTGAGCTCGGGTCGTAGGACCACTAGCGGTGTTCGCCGCTCGCGAGCATGAGGACCGACAGCTCCCTGATCCCTATGGATTTCCTGACGAAGTAGAGCTCCCCGCTCCTGACGAGGGATCGGTATCTTCGGTTCAGGAGGCCGAGGTTTCGGTGCTCAGACCTCGGAACCCTGGCTAGAATCGACAGGGCAACCTCGTCGCTCAGACAGGGGAAATAGGAGGAATCCGGATCGTTAACTTGGGTCTCTTCAGCGACCGTCATCTCCCCGCTCCTTCGATCCTCATCCTCCTCGTCAAAACCTGACCTTTCTCCGTCTTTTGACGTTGGATTCACAAACTAAATCGAGATCAAACGAAGCAGAGGGGGAAAAGAAAATTATTCTATCGACACGGGCAAAAACAAAAAATCGGATCTTTTTGTCCTCAGAATTGGCCTAGAGATCAAAATTAAACACAAAAATTCAGATAGCCCGCATTAGGACTAGACACAATAAGGACAGACAAAGTACGCTTCTTTCAGATTTTCATTGGAAAACAAAGCAAACTTTGATGACCCAAACTCACAGAAGATCCCAAATATAATTATCATAGATTGCATGTAGGCAGCTCTCTTTGCATCAAAGTGTTGGAGAGGGGTAGGGGGTGCTTCGTATGGGGCGGATGGGGGTATTTTTAAAAGAAAAATGCATCAAGGACCCGAAATAGGGGACCCTGAGTGGGACAGGTGAGGTGTCGCCTCTCTGTCCCGTGATGCACTGTTCACGAACAGTGGAACAGTGCATCACGGGACAGGGACTGTCCCGTGATGCACTGTTCACGAACAGTGGAACAGTGCATCACGGGACAGGGAGGCGACACCTCACCTGTCCTACTTAGGGTCTTGTAGCCGTACTCTTTTTAAAAAGGGAGAAATTTCACAGGGGACTGCTTTCCTCTCGATGTGTCACCTCGGTGACCTCATCTTCAGCTTTGTAGATTGAGAGAGAGAGAGAGAGAGATGCTTCTCTCCAAAACACGAATCTCTTTCATTAGCGTATTCACGAGACAAAAGGTGAGCAATATAATTATATTCAAGAATTCTATAGGAACAAAGTCTTAACATATTCAAAACAATGTGACTCTTGAAACCAGACTACGGGTCATTTAGCATGTTGCAATTGCAAATGTAACATGTAGAGAATGTTGTAAGCAACATTTGTTACAAAAAAATAGCTCTAAGTATGTCATACTGATACGTGCATTTTTTATTTTTATTTTTATTTGTAGGAAATACATTCCAGATGCAAATCCAGTGTTTACTTAGTTATAAAAGCTGCTATTTTTGCATCTGTCGTACCAAGAAAATGAATTTCTACTACAAATCAAGTACTTGTAAGCAAAACAATCTAAAATTTGTGAGTTGGAACCCCCTAACTCAATGACATAACACGGTAACACCACTTGATCGCTTGTTTCAATCATATTTCACGGAACTTTTTTCAACAGATCGTAAATCTATTTACATTTCGCAAGTACCGTGTTGCGAAGCAAACAACAAAAAATTAAAATTTTGGCAGCAATAAACTACAGATATCGCCAATCTAATTTAGGAGATTTACCCGGTCGATTTGGTGGAGGAACGGCCGGGTTAATAGGCTGAGCATATATATATCCTCCTCTTCTCCGCAGCACGTCATTTTGAAACGCTAATATCAAAAAAAAAAAATTTAAGGTCTATTGACTCATCAAGCCTCCAACTTCGCCAACAACCAAAAAAGCCTAAAAAGTTAAAATGGGTTATTTTTGAATTTTTCCATTTCAAACCAAGCTAATGCAAATCCATATAAATTTTAAATGAACCACCTTCGAAAAGTCCATATATATTAAGGAAAAGATGAGAAGAATTTTAGGGGAAATAAATTTTGGAGAAACAGAGTGAAGAGGAAACTCACTGAGGATTTGATCACCGACGCCACATGCAGGTTTTGAGGAATTGCTAATTCCTCAAACCAAATAAAACTATTAAAAATTGGAATTAAATTTTGAAAATTTGGAGAGGAATCGAGCGGAGAGAGAATGCGAGAGAACGAAAAAAAAAAAACCAAACTTTGGGGGTTGGGGGGGTTGTTTGTGGCAATGCACAAAAAGTTTCTAAATTGGCAGTAAGCACTAAATACTAAATAATATTACCGGAATTCACGGCAGTTTTTCTTTAGGGCATGTTCGGTTGTTTTCCGGAAAAAAAAAAAAAAAGAAATCAGAATTGTACCACGAAAACAAATTCAAGGCATTTCATAGTGTTTTCTTAGATTTGAAGTATTCTGTTCGTTTCAACATGGAAATCAAGGGATTGAAATCAAAAGTCACATTTACTGTGTTCGTTTCAACTCTTTGCAATAAAGAAATGAATTGTCCTTTATCACATTTCTTAGTTTTCCCCTGTTCGTTTTGCACAACCTCATATATTCGAAACAGCTCAAAAACCCAGTTTTCTCTCCCCCCGCCTTGAAAAACACCCAGCGATTTTTTAATGGCTGTTTAACACATTTCCGAGTTGTTTTCAGGCCAAATGTAGCTGAAAACACAAATTCCCAAAGTCCTACGTGGCACACGTTTTCAAGGCCCCATTTCTCTAAATCAGATTGTGAAACGAACAGGTGAAATGGAAATCACTCGAAACCTTGTTCCTATGTAGCAGCAATATTTGTTTTCATTTCCCAGTTTTCCACGTTTTTTTGGGGCAAACGAACAGGCCCTAAAAGAGAACACTCAAAAAGCTTTTATGAACAATAAATCTGATCTGAACCAATCAGATTATTCATAACAAAATTATTCAGATTTAAAAAAAAAACTCAAAAATCCAACTTATCTCCGTACTCACCCTCTAAACTTCCTTTTTACAACCCACGTTCTCCTTAAAAAAAAACTTCCCACGTTTGAAACATTAAAACTTCCCCACAATCGATCAACTGCTTCCGCACATTTCCTACTCTTCATCAATTTCCTCTTCCGCCTAAAGATAGTTCAAGAGAATTCTTCCTCCTTCTCCGTCTCCGCTCTCGCCGTCGACTCCTCCCGCCGCCGTCTCATCGCCGCCTTCTCCTCTCCAGCCTCGATATCCTCCTACGACCTCCGATCCCCCACCCCCACCGCCTCATCTTCTCCTCTCCCCTCTAATTTCCCCAACGTCTCCCAAAACCCTAACCCTAACCCTAAAATCCCTCTAAAGTCGCTAACATTTATTCATGGATCCTAAACCCATCGATCTCGGGAGCGCCAGTGGTGGCGATGCCGACGAGTTCGCGATCACTCGGAAGTGATCTCGCCGTGTGAGCTTCGCTAAGACCACTGCCATCCATGTCTTCGACCGCGACGAGGATTTCGAAACTCCGCCTGAATTGAAATCTGAAGGATGGAATGTTGGAAGCGGGGAGCTAGGGCTTGGAGGTGATCAGTTTAGTAGCGATGGTTGTAGGGATCAAGCTTTGCCTCTTACATTTTAATCAATTAATCTTTGTGTCACATGTATTTGACATATTAAGCTGTAGTAATCATTTTGTTATGGTTCAACAAATTCTGATGATAGATATCTCTGTTACTACATAATGACCTTTTACTTCTGTCGCAGGTGTCATTTTTGCTTAGTTTCTTTCCAGTATTTATCGCTTGGGTATATTCAGAGATCTTGGAGTATAGGAAGCCTTCCTCTCCTCCAATTTTGTAAGATTTTCTCTACAATTTAAGATTTCATATATATAGTGCTAAGATGTTCTCAACTTTATTGGTTATCCTACACAACTTTATTAGTTACCCCCCATAATAAAGATTTTCTAGAATTGACAACTTAATGCAGGGTTAATCTAAAATACAAAAAAGTAGAAATATCACATTTTAATCTCAGAGGGTATTTAAAGAAAAGTGTTTTTATGTCTTCTTGAAGAGGGCGTGTGTTATCCATCATAGTGACAGTGAGTTTTCTGTATAACTTCTTTTCATTTATTTATTTATATGTTATAACCGGCCAATATCCAGATACTGTTACTATTACAGGGCAAACAAATTGTTTATGATGGGTTAGGGACAGAGAAAGAAATGATCTTGATAGCAATGGGGGGATTTTGATGGGTTGATAATAATGCAAAACTTCAGGAGGAATTTAGGGATGTTGTTGTACCAATTTCCCAGGTATATAATTTGCGCTGTCACAAATTCTGTTGTTTTAACTCTTTAAGTTTGTTGTTAATTGCAAATTGTTCGTTTTCTTGCTTGATCTCAAGGTTATGGCTCTCGAAATGAACAGTCTTTATAATTTAGGATATTTTGCTTGCCACAATTTCCTAAACATGTAACTTGCTTGCTAGAGAATTCTGTTGTTTACCTCTTTAGTTTTTATGAATTTTTTGTTTTTAATTAGAAATAGATTGTAAAGTGTCTGTGTAGTTTTGCCAAAGTATTATATTGAGGTAATAGCAAAATGTGGTTCTCTCGAGGGCAAGAGTCCTAATTAATGCATGTTAATGCTCAGCCATGATTAGGTTAGTCTCTATGTTAATTCACACATTCATTTTGATAGTAAGTAGTAACAATGAACTAAGGATTCTTACCAAGAATGATATGGATATAAACTAATGGTTGTTTCACTTCAGCCAAAGAATGATAGAATATAAACTAATAAGTTGAAAGTAAATACTTGCATGGAGAGGATTAGTTTGATGCACCTCAAATAACCTTAACTTTTGCGAGGTTGGGTAGCATTCTGGCTTTTACATAATGATATAATATCTTTCATGGAGTTTTGTTTATTGAAATTGTTGATTGTTTTCTGTGCAGAGCAAAGCTTGACAAGCATGATAGACTCTTGGAATTTGTTCGGAAACTCGAGTCTTCATGTGTTGAAACGGTGGAGTCAGGCAAAATGACAATTTTGTTACTTTGGTCCTTTTAAATTTTGAGTATTAGTTAGTATATATATTTGCAACAAAAGCACATGTAAAGTTTTGAACTTTATTTAAAAAACTATTCATCAAGGTTGTATAGTATTATTGTAGGTGACTGGTCTGTGTGTGGTTTGGTTGAAATTTATTTTAAAATTTATTCATCAAAGTTGTATACTATAATAATAAAGCAATCTACATTATATATATATTGAAATTAGAAGTACAATTATGTTACTAACTAAATCTTATTTCTATTTTTTGGGTAGAAATACAGGGTCTAATCTTCTTTGTTCTTCATTTCACATTAACATCAGCATAGAAAACTGAAGTTACGATATATCTTTTGTAATCAATTTTTCTTGGTATGTTTTGATGAACTTTGATGCACTGCTATGTTAGGAGAAGTGAAATATTTTTATTAGTCATGCTATTCTCTTACTTGCGTCAAGAGGTTGAAGATAAATTACAAAATATCTTTTTTAAAATTTTTTATTAGTCATGATATTGAATCAAATTTGATCGAATATATGAATGAATAAAAAAAAGCAAATAGCACCCCTATACTTCATATCTAAAATATAATTCTTTATTTTGGTAACATGTTCAATATTTACAAAAAATCTTTTAAAAACCGTGCTTTGCACGGGTCTAAATACTAGTTATTTGATTATTTGAGGTTGCCAAATTTTTTATTAAATCATCACAAATATTAACTTTTTATTTTCTCTCTCACCCACTTCACTTTTGGCAATTTTTACTAAAAAAGTAGTTCAATAGTTGGCAACTCCAAATGTTAACTACATGGTCCCACATATTATTTTTTAATTATAAATATTATCGCACTAAATTTTTAAAATTCATAAATTAATATAAATTGAAAGGGGGTTGAAAACGTTGCTAACTTTTGGCAACTTTACTTGGCTCCCTTGCTCCTCCAATGGTTAACAACTCATGGAGCTGTGACATGAACATGTGAGCACTCCCCTTAGCAACGACAGTTGGAGATGCTCTAATGGCTGTTCGCCACGTCATCATTGCCCGTATCAAATATCGGGTAACGAGTGTGGTTAGACATCCAATGACCCGAAAATCCAGTCTGTATTTCGACATGAATTTTTCAATTTTAGATTCTTATTAAAATCATATTTCATGAGTTATACTAGACTGTATGGAGGTTTTAAATAGATACGCTTTCCCAATTCAATCTGCAAAAAAATTATAATTTAATAATTGTTTCCTTCTCTATTTTCGGTGTGATTTATACATGCATCGTAATGAGAGGATGTTCGAAGAGGAGCCGACACTGTACATCTCAAGATCCTAAGGCTCTATCGATCGAGTGACATGTGTTCACGAAGAAACAGTTTATGAAGGGGCTAGGGTTGGGTCTTGGCCAAAACCTCTCTCCCATGCTTAAAAGTCAAAAAGTTATTAGGTGCAACTGATAACTGTTAAGATTTCGAGTGCTAAAATGGTCATTAATTATTGTGTGTGACTATCTCTCCCTTAAATTGGAGATTGTGATTTCTCTCTCGTGAGGATCTAGGGATCTAAATGTGGAGAGTCCCCTTTTGGCAAGTGAATGGGGGCGATGTTTGTTAACTGGTGGCTATGCGTCAGAGTAAGTCTAGACATGCGTTTTGGCAGGCTCCACCGCATGTGAAGTGATGTTTTGGGCAACCGATTGAGGCTAGCTCGTCAATTAATCAAGGCATCGCCCATGAGATTTGGTGGGGGTATTTGCTTGGATTGTCAGAGCATCTCCAGGGGGTCCGAAAAATTAAATTTAGTTAATGTATAGTTAATTTAAAATAATATAATTAAGTTAATGTATAGGTAATGTATAGTATATAAATTAATTATTTGTTAAATTTTAATATGATTAATTAATTTAATGAGTATATAAGGTAATTTCTTAATTTAAATTAATTAATTAATTAATTTTTAGTTATTAATATTTATTTATTTATTTATTTATAAATAAACCATATATTTAATTAAATCCTAATCAATAAAATTAAAACATTTAAAAATGAATAATTAAGGGATATGGGGACTTTTAAGGGGGAACCATTGGAGGAGAACCTTCTCCTCCCTTAAAATCCCCCCTAGATTAAGGGACATTGTAGGGAACCCTTAAAGATGCTCTTATGCCAAGTGGGTGCTGATTAGGATCGTTTGACTAAATTAATAGAGGCTGAGCCTCGGGCTTAGATACAGTTAGGATATTAGGGTTTAGTAAAAATGCTTCGACACAAAAAATATAATCCTCCTTATATTAATGCAAAACATGAGGACTATAAAAAAAATGACTAGAATGATAAATAGATAATTTTTCTTTGGAACACCGCATATGTATTGAACATTTTATTGAATCTAGCACAGAAAAAAAAAAAACATAAACAAAAGGACAAAAACACATCGAATAGGAAAAAAAGTGAAAAATATAGAGTAGTTATTTTGGAAAGTAGCCATCTAATAAAACAAAGAAATATTTTTTTCCGATTCCTAACAAGGGAATAATTTGAGAACATAGAAATTAATAAAAAGAAACTTAGATAAAATTTTGCAAAATGCACAATGATAACAATTTTTTATTGGTATAAAAAAATGTAAATGACAATGGTGTTCAGCCACTTAGGGGGTGTTTGATTACACAATTTTATAGAAAAGTTTTCTCAAAATGCCTGACAATGGTAATTTTATAATTAAATTTTTTCGTAGATTTCCATAAACAGTGTTTGGTTCAAAAAAATTTACAGAAATATTTTTTGTAAAGTACAAAAAAGTACCAAAATTTATAGAAATCAATTTACTCTCAAAATGGGCGAAAATCACCCAGGAATCTGGCACCACATTGATACTTTTCTATAAAGTTAATATTTTTCTATAAATTTAAGGGCTGTTTGGTTTAATTTTTATAAATTATAAGAAATCTTGCTATTTTCTATAAAGTTATGAGTCATTTTCTTGTTTTGAACCAAATAAAGAAAGTAAAAAAAACAAAAAAATTGATACTTTTTGACTTCTCAAAACTTTCTTATAATATTTTTTAAAAAATACAAGAAAGTTATATTTTAGATGGAAAAAATTTCTTATAATTTGTAGAAATCGAACCAAACACCCCCCTTATCCTGCAAGCTGCAACCGCCGGCCTAAACCCTCACTTTTCAAAAAGATTTCATTTCCGCGCCCACATAAAAAAAAGGAAAAAATAAAAATCTAAAAAACAAAAAATACCAATAATCCCGTAAAAAATCCCCAAACCCCAAAAGCCCTAGCTCCACCAGATCTTGTCACCGCCGGCCAAAATGGACGACCCCTCAACCTCCAACCTCATCCACGATCTCGTCCTCCGCCATCTGCCATGGCCGAGTCCATCAAGCGAACCCTAGCCCTCAGCGGCCGCCACGCTGACGCCCTCTCCTTCGCAGATCTCTACTCGAAGCTCACTCATCGATCTTCGATTAAGAACCGCTGGGCTCTCCTCTATCTCCTCAAATCGATCGCCGACGATCGTAGGAAAAGCCAATCATCTTCGATCCCTAAGGTGTCCGCTGGCCTCCCTTCGCTTCCTCTATCTACTCCGAAGAAAACCCTAGCTTCTCAAACCTCCGGCCGTGGCGGAGTTCTTTTGCTTTCGAAAGATCCAGACAACATTCGTGAGATCGCACTAAGGGAATTCGGCGATCTCGTTTCTGAAGAGACCGAGGTTTCTGAATCGGCGCTCGTTAGAGACGTCCTCTACGTTTCTCAAGGGATCGATGGTCGGTATGTGAAATTCGATGAGAAATCGGATTCGTATGAGCTTCTGCAGAGCTTGAAGGTTCCGAGATCTACTCGGATCTTGGTAAGGAAACTTGCTGAGCTAGGGTTTTTGTTCAGAAAGGTGAGAAATTATATTAATGATAGTATGGCGAGATTTGTAGCTGAAGAGGTTGGGACTGTAGGTCAAGCTTTTGCTTCAGCATTGCAAGATGAGTTGTCTGATTTCTATAAGTTGCTGGCAGTTCTTGAATCACAGTCATCAACTCCGATCCCAATGACAGGATCGGATTCTGGTTCGCCAGAGAATTACCTTTCCTTGAGAAGGTTGGCTGTGTGGCTAGCTGAACCGATGGTTAGAATGCGATTGATGGCGGTTCTTGTTGATAAATGTAGAGATTTGAAAGGTGGAGCAATGGCCGGAGCTATTCATGGACAATCTCAGCATGGTGATCCTTTGGTTCAGGAGTTTATGGGTCGGTTGCTTCGAAGAGTTTGTTCACCATTGTTTGAGATGGTGAGGAGTTGGGTCCTTGAAGGAGAGTTAGAGGATGTGTTTAATGAATTTTTCATTGTAAGCCAACCGGTAAAGGTGGAAGCTTTGTGGAGGGAGGGATATCGAATTCAGTCATTGATGCTTCCTTCTTTCATTTCTTCGGTTTTGGCTCAGAGGATTTTGAGGACAGGAAAGTCGATTAATTTCCTTAGGGTTTGTTGTGAGGATAATGGATGGGCTGATGCTGCTGCCGAGGCGGCAGCCCATGTTGGAACTACCACGAGAAGGGGTGGGCTTGGTTATGGTGAAACCGATGCCTTAGAAGCTTTGGTTATTGAAGCAGCAAAGAGGATTGATCGACACTTGATGGATGTGGTTCATGGAAAATACAGATTTAAGGACCATTGTCTAGCTATTAAGAGGTACCTTCTTTTAGGACAGGGAGACTTTGTTCAGTATCTGATGGATATTGTAGGGCCTGAGCTGTCTGAACCTGCAAACACTATTAGCTCGTTCCAGCTTGCTGGACTTCTTGAGACAGCGATTCGAGCATCTAATGCTCAGTATGATGACCGAGATATTCTTGATCGTTTGAAGGTGAGAATGATGGAGCATGGGGATGGTGATCGAGGATGGGATGTCTTTGCTCTAGAGTATGGTGCTAGAGTGCCACTGGACACTGTTTTCACAGCATCTGTCATGAAAAGATACCACAGAATATTTAATTTCTTATGGAAGCTTAAAAGGGTTGAGCATGCTTTGATCAGGGTTTGGAAGACGGTGAAGCCGAACTGCATAATCTCATGTTCTCTTGCTAAAGAACCGGCAGTTAGAGTTCAGTTTGTGTCGGTGCTTCGGAGGTGCCAGGTGATTTGGAACGAAATGAACCATTTCGTGACAAATTTTCAGGATTATATAATGTTTCAGGTTCTTGAAGTTTCCTGGGCGAGATTCTCGGAGGAAATGGATGCAGCTAAGGATTTGGATGATCTACTTGCTGCACATGACAAGTACCTTGGGTCGATCGTTGAGAAGTCTCTTCTTGGGGAGAGGTCTCAAGGGATAATCAAGACCCTCTTTGTGTTGTTTGACCACATTTTGAAATTTCGAAGTCTTGCTGATCGGTGGTTTGAAAGGATATATGAGTTGCAAAACAGGTATTTTTTTTATTCTACTGTGATTTTTTTTTCTGTGTGGAGAAATTTGGGCTTGCCTTAATGATAATTGCGTGTTTGCTTTTGCAGAGGGAAAAGTTCTAGAGCAAAATCAAAAGATCTCTCAAAGTCGGGATCGTGGTTTGATGGTGGGAGGAAATCAATGATCCAACTTGCTGGAGATTTTCTTAAAAAGATGGGTGAAGATCTAGATGTGATTGCAAAGGATTACTCATCATCACTTGATGCGTTCATTTCCCAATTGCCATTGCAGCAACACGTTGACCTGAAATTTCTCCTGTTCCGATTAGACTTTACTGAGTACTATAGCCGTCTTTCTCCCAGTAAATAAACATCACGAGAGCAGATGAATCAGCCTGGCAAAAGCAGCATTCTGCCAAGCCTGCCATTGGTGTTTGTTGTATGATTTGACACATTCCCTGAAATCTTTAGTTGGGTATTCATTTTGTATATACAAACCAAGGTAGTCGAATAGAAGAATTTTGGTTTTGTTTTCCGTCTATATCCTCTTACTGTGGTTTTAATTTTTGTTTCCCATGTTTTGCAGGTGTCTGTTAACAGAAGTGTTGATCATTGGAGAATTCAGGTGAGCTTTGTTGCTGTGTATTTTGGATCTCAAATTCTCAATCCATTAGTGTGCATTCATGTGTTTTGATGGTGTTCTACTTTTTATTGATTGGTTCTTTTACATGGGGATATTATAAAATTGCCCATGAAAATATGTATCCTTTTGGAAATATGATATAATCTTTCACTAAATTATGGCTTCTGGCTTCAGTTTGTATTATCATTTTAACTTTTATGTGCATTATGATAATTCAAAAACATGCTTGGGTTGGGTTTCTGCGATGCTACTAAAATGGTGATACATACACTTGCATTGACAGGCTGTATTGATCTTGGATTGATTGCATGCGTTAATCCTATGTGACAAGAAACTGTATGATAGAAGGCATTTATTCATGTATAAGGAGCGAAGTATGAACCCAAGACAAATAAAAGCATACTGTTGTAAATTGGATTAATTCAGTTGAGGTTCAGACCTCCAATTGTCCATTCACTGGGATAAGTTCCACTTAAGATTGTTGCAAACCACCTCTAACTGCAGCTGCAAGTTCCACTAGAGATACAGCAATTATGTGAGTCATGAGGTTCAGACCTTCAATTGTCCATTCACTGGGATAAGTTCCACTTAAGATCTTTGCAAACCACCTCTAACTGCAGCTGCAAGTTGCAAAATTATATAATTGAACGAAGTATGTGCATGCAAGTGAAACTTGAATTGCAAATATTGCTGTAATATTGAACATGACACCCCATTTATCGATCCAACAATCTATAATGCTACATAACTCAGGTCTGCTGTGGCATATATTGGCGCACTTTATGATGGTGGAAAAACTAGTTTAATTGAATTTAGTATTTTTTTGGTAACTTAACTGATCATATTTATACCAAAGGAAATTGATATTTTTTGCGCTTAGTTACGTTAGAGACTCTGATTCTATTTGTTTAGGCAAGATACACATTTGAAATGAGAATATCTTGGATAAGGACGATGAATCAACTCTTCACCCAAGTAATGCAAACAGAAATATAAAACTACAAGTTTAAGAGAAAGTTGGTGCAATACATTTCCCCCCTATTCTTTGTCACGGACTCATGTCTTGAACTCATGCTAAATAGAGGATGGAAACCTAAGCTGGATATTAGTGGGCAACCGAATGAGTTGTACAGTATTATTTTGGAAGTTTTTATTAGGTAATGCCTAAATAGCACTGATGCTTCAAAGTAGAAAGCATACATGTATCATGGGAGGAGGACAAAGATATTTGGACACTCTTTACTTTTTTTCTTTCTTTTAGTATCTCCTCTGTTCAAGTCTCAATAAAATCTCAAAATAGGTTTGGACACTCTAATACTTGATCAATACATATCAAATATTGCCTTTGACGTATTCTAGACATTCTATATGTGTCTTAATTTATTACTAAAGAGTATGATTGTTCACATAACTTATTAAAATATACGTGCATAATTTTATTGTTGGTTTTCCCAGGGCATATAGGTGTCCTAAATTTTAAGGTTCACCGTCCTCAGCCCTGCATATTATTTGTTATGTATAATTCTATTTTTATGTGTTCTCATGATATCCATGCCATTACCATCTCCGTGTTCTTCAGAATCTGTCGTATTTAATGTCTGTATCATACTGTAACCATATTTCGTATCTAATATATAGTTCTATACTCCACAAGTTGGTTTAATTAGGTTTTTGTAGCCCATCATTTTTACTTCTCGCGGGCGACCTAGCCATCTAGGACAACGGCATCATAATTGAAGATCAAATATGCCTAGGATAAGCCCTTACTAGAGCAATAATGGTTTTTAATTTAACAGAGGGAGAGAAATTATTCATGTGCCAAACTTTTTTCTTGATTATAGATTTTGTTTTGGTTGCTTCTATTGTGACAAATACAATCTTGCTAATGTTGAAGCTTTGCGTTGAACTCAGTCTCATTTGCCAGCCATGTGTCCCTTGTTCGTAAGAGTCATTTATGCCAATTTAAGTGCAGATATGATATTTGTGTATATTTCATGCTTGCGCTCGTTTTTAATGCTTGGACTTGTACACTTATGTCGAGGAAGCAAAAATTTGCGCGCATGTTGCTTAATTGCGCAAAGAATCAAAGATGGCGTTTTTTTTATTACATGATTCTATTATTATTGATAATAAGGTTTCAGAAACCACTTGCGTTTTCCCTATAATGTTGGTTTTCTCTTTCATCCTCCAAATCAGTATCTCTATGTTCCTTTATCACAAAAACTATTGGGGGATATGTCAACATGACAATGATATACCCAACGCATAGTTTTGCTAAGGGTCGGTGTTACCGAGTAAAATGTGATTTCTCTCTCAAATGGATCTTATGTACAAAAGAATACAATTTGCCTATTTCAGTACACTTTTTGATGAACTCAATATTGACTTAGATTTGAAAACTCATATTATGATTACCAGTGTTTTGTACCCAAAAAGAAAATCAATGAACAGCGTAGAAACACTCTTAGTTTCTTGATGAAGTTGAGATTGATTCCAACTTGAAGTTCAGCAAAATGACCTGCAAGTTTTGCTAGCCCAGGATACCAAAAAAAAAAAAAAAAAATTGATGCGACTGGCTGCTCTAGCCCAGGATACCAAAAAAAAAAAAAAAAAATTGATGCGACTGGCTGCTAATTTAGTTGTGTATACGAGGATACAAGATGAATCTCGTGCCCTCGTAGTTTCTTCCGTTAATCATGTTATGTTTCTGGGAAAGAACGATGTATATATATATTTTTTTTTCAATTTCATTTTTCTCTCCCAATCGCTCACTTTCTGAATCACCGTCCATTTACATCTAAAAAGATTCTGATTTATTCCAAAGATAACAAAACCACATCTCATAATAAGGACAAATTTTCAAAACCAACCCATTTGATAAACTATTCCTAAAAAAGACCCATTTCAGTTTTATTTGCAAAAACCGACCTGGTTTCAGCCTCAGCGCTGAAACCAGGTCGGTTTTTGAAAAAAAGTTTCCGAAACTTCATGGGAGAAGTTTTGTTATGAGAAAAAACTTCACGGGAGTTGAACTCCCGTGAAGTTTCGTAAAGTTTTTTAGAAAAACCGACCTGGTTTCAGCGACAGTGCTGAAACCAGGTCGGTTTCTCTAAATAAATTTGAAACATGTCGTTTTTTGCAATTAGTTTATCAAATAGGTTGGTTTTGAAAATTTGTCCCTCATAATAATTGTTCATCAAAAATAATATAAGAATTACTTGAAGAAATAAATTGTTCCGCTATCTACCTACATCAGAGATCATCATAATCATATTATAAACATTTGGTAAAATATAGTATTATTAAGAACAATTTTTCACTGTAGACCCAAACAGATTTTTTATTACCAAAATCGACCGAATTTTTTTTTAATTACCAAAATCGACCCGTTTTATGCCACATAAGCGTAATCCCATTTCCTAATTAGTCGGGGTTGCCAACCCCGACTGTTTAGGAGTTGTTAAACCCCAATTAGAAGCCTTAAACCTGATTTAATTAGGGTTTAACAACTCCTAAACAGTCGGGGTTGGCAACCCCGACTAATTAGGAAATGAGATTATGCTTACGTGGCATAAAACGGGTCGATTTTGGTAATTAAAAAAAAATCGGTCGATTTTGATAATAAAAACTCAGTTTGGGTCTACAGTGAAAAATTGTTCTATTATTAAAGGGTCCTCTTCTCTCCCTCCGACTTGGACCCGGCCCAAACCAAGAAGTATAGGGACCGAGCTCCGTCGCCCCTTTCAACGGACGCGCCGGATGACCGCGACTAAAACCCCCCCGCGGTTCAAGAGAAAGGCGAGGAGATCCAACAAAACCCCCAAAACCAAACCCACGGCGATCAAATCAGAGGGCATCGGCGATCAAACCCCATCCAAGGCCACCGCAACGGCCGCCGCTCGTCCACAGCGTGCCACGTGTCCCGTCGCCCTCCCCAGCCCGGCGGCGATTTTGCCGCGGAGTTTCTTCGAAATCGACGCCCTCGACCTCGCCCCTCGCCTCCTCGGCAAGTTCCTCCGCAGGGACGACGTCGTTCTGCAAATCACCGAGGTAACATTTTTTTTTCCTTGCACTTTGCGCCCCGAAAAGTGGACTTTACTTATCAATGTAAAAAAAAGTTGAGGGTGTTTTCTGCAAAATGGTTCTATATTTTTCGGAATAATGCAGGTGGAGGCTTACCGAACAAACGATACCGCTTGTCACGGTAGATTTGGTGTTACTTCGAGGACAGCTCCTGTGGTAAAAGTCTTGACTTAAAAAAAAACCCCAGTAATTTGGTTTATTTTGGTGGTAATTTTTGTGGAGCTTCACTTTAACTTGATTATAATTTTACAATTGTGTCTGTAATAGTTCCTAATGTAATAGAAGTCCGGAATTTGACCTTAGGTTATTGAGCTATGCATGTCAATTGTGGGACTTATGTTTTACCTTCTTTAAGGGTTGACCAAAAGCTGTAAATTTTATTTTTAGGGATGTTTAAACATGCAGAAGACCAAACTGAAGTTACATCAAACTCAACCATAAATATTTGTAGAGGGGTGCGTTTGCCTTTTCCACATACAATAACAAGAACAACAACAATGACAATAATAAGCGCGACAAAGCTTTATTTCAATTCCTTTGGGATTGGTTATTCAAACCCATTCGTTCCTGTATGTATGAGTCTTGATCAGTAGCTAAGTTGCATGGATACCGGCGCATGCATGGGTACGGGTGCGGGTACGTGTACACGACACGTCGACACATTTGTAAAAGGTAGTACGGGAACACGGCTATATACATATGTTGAAATTAATAAACTTAGAGATAAGACCAATCTTATTTCTCATTCACATTTGAGAAGTAAAATTTCTATAACATTTTTTTTATGTTTCTTTTATTATGTCGACTATAAAGTCAGCGTGAAGTGCATGATACACATTGAGGAAATGTAGGATGAGTGTTTTATATTAAATTTTGTATTTTATAATTGATTACACGCTCAAATAAATGTATGGATATATACAAGGAGTGTCCTTGGAAGTGTCAGTGCGCATACGGGCATGTTTCCATACCCGCACTGGCGGATATGTATTGGGTCATGGGGGTGCAGTTGCACACCTAACAATCAAAATTGCACCGCAATTTGCATTGAAGAGCCTGTTTGAATTTTACTTATATAATCACTAAACAAATTATGTGTCTTCCACACCTCTAAGAAAGTTTTCCTAGACCTACCACTGCGTGTCCCATATGGGTATGACATTAGATAGAAGTGCCTAGCTAACTTGGATCAGTAGAAAATGTTTCCTTTCTTAAAAGTTTATTATTATTTTTTTATACCCGGAACTTCTCGTAGGTTCGCATATATGCCTGTGAATTTTATTAAGTCAGATGGCTTAAAAACCCATTCAAGAATTACAAAAGGGGCATTGGAGGATTGTTATTTGGATGGATGAGAGAAATGGGATATTATAGAATTATCCTGAGACAATACAAGGTAAAGCATGCCAAAAAAAAATTCTGAAAGCCCTAAAGAAAGCAATAACCATTCACCCCTCCTAAAATTATAGAATCCTCTTCTATCTTCCCTAATGATCTGCATAATGTGAGAAGGAAGATGGTCAGAAGGCAAAACTAGCCGAACTTACAAGTTAATTATATGTCTAAACTTCTGTCAGTCTCATATTTCTAGCGCTTTGTCTACCCCAAAGTTTCATTTGATTTTGGTCCACTATATTTTTAAATATCTAACTTTGCTTCGGGTTAGTTTACTAGTAATTTGTGAACCCAATAATTAACGAAAAGTCGCATATCTAGGTCACAAAAGATAAAAATCCTGATTAAATATCTATACTCTTTGCTGCTTCCAGCTTTTGGTGACTGTGTGTGCTGTATATTCCTTTGGAAACTATATCCAGTATATTCCTTTGGAAGCTGTATGCACTGTTCTCGAATGTTTTTTTTTGGGGGTACCGTCATTGCATTTCTAAAATATTGTTGATATCTGATGATTTTCGGGGACAGTTTGGTCCAGGAGGACATGCATATGTTTACTTATGTTACGGTCTCCACATGATGCTGAACATTGTTGCTGACAAGGAAGGATTGGGTGCTGCAGTCTTAGTACGCTCCTGTGCTCCTGTGAGTGGTAAGTTCTCATGCAATTATTTAATGTAATATTCAGATTATAACCAGATGGACATTTCTGTTCCTCTTGGGGGTTGGCCACTGCTACAAGAAATTTGCAATTGCTGCTTAATTGTATCTTATCACATTGGCTGGTGATTTGCTAGTAAAAGTTCTTGCTTTCCTAGATAAACAGTTTTCTCATTTCCATTTGAAATCTATTATATTTCTGGATTTTAGACTGGCACTCATTTACGTGACTGTGGCTCTATTTCTGATTTGCTATCTGTGCATCCCATCTCCAATCAAGATAATTGTTTCTAGTCTTTTTCTCATTGCGAATTGTAGGCTTTCCTTTTGGCCTTTAACCTTTCTTTCACCCTAATATAGAAAGTTAACTCTATCTGCTTACTGGCATTTCCTATTGTGATTTGCCTGCATTTTGTGAACCAGCTTATAGACTTACAGGCCATTATGATGTCGTTTTATCTCATGCAAAGGCATGCATCTCTTCCCTATATGCTATGTAAATAATATGAAACTTTGTTTTTCACTTGCTATATTGTCTAGTATTTATAGCCTTCATGTATAATCAAACTGATACTTCCATGGAAGGGAACACCGGCTTGCTCATATTCAATAACCAAAGTATCGTGCAAATTTTTATTAATCTATGTCTTGATTTACTTATTGTTTAAGGACTACATTTATCATTTTGATCTTATGAGTTTAGTAATGAGAAGTGGTTATATGACTATTTAGGTCTCTTTTAATTTTGACCTCCATGTCAAGAATCTAGACATATATTTTCATGCGCCGATAGATGGTCTTTCTGGCAAAATAAGTAATATAGCAGGTGTAATCTTAATTACACTCCAAGTCTTTCAAACAGACAAAATTCTCCCTTTTTGTTTAGATCTCTTCTAATACACAAATAAGGAAAAGATGATTCTTCATGAATGCCCTGAGACCCGGGAAGGTATGTATTATAATTATAAAAATCCAATCAAAGGCGACATTTTTATCTCCTAATAGTATATAGGTTGACGGGAAATCTCACTCGACATTACTTTTCTCATCTATACTACTATATAAAAAACCAACTAAGGGTAGTGCAAAGTTGGATAAGTGGCGGACATGTCCTCCTTTTCAATTGTAACTGAAAGGTCAAAAATGTAATTTTACAACAGTTGCTGTTTTCTCTTCTCTTTTCTTTTTTGCTTCTAGAATATTTTATATCATATAATGTCATAAGAAAAAGGAGCCTAAATAATGAATGTTTTCTTCGCATTTTATGTTATAAAAAAGTAAAGTTCTATGCATATATCGATATCATAGTTATTTATACTAATACATGAAGTAAAATAATGAAGGATTTTAGGTTCAAAGAGACATTACTTGATTGTTGTTCTCTCCGCCAATCTATTAAATGCAATAAAAAGATGAATTATCTTCATATCTTCATTTGTATTTATTAATTCAAAAATAAAATGTTTTCATAGCTCGTGCATTTGCATGTGTCAAAGTTCTAGTGAAAGAAGAAGAGCCTAACAATGAGAATCAAAATACATACCAATTGGCAATGGTCAATTACAGAACTTCCATGACAACCTGCAGGTTTGGAGACTATTCAGGAACGCCGAGGTCAAAAGACTGAGAAGCCTGTCCTACTTACAGGGCCTGGAAAGGTTTGTGATTCTAACTTTCTTTATATATATATATATAGAGAGAGAATAATGGAGGTGAGCTGGCAGCTCACATCTCCCCATGAGCTGCAAGTGTATGACATGTGAGCCCCACACCGATGTGACTAGTAGGGGGCTCACATGTCATACACTTGCAGCTCACGGGGGAGGTATATATATATATATATATATATATATATCTTAAAGCTTCTTAGATTGGACATATATGTTTGTTTTAGTTCTTGATGTGAATGAGTGGTGTGGAATATGCTTTCCTTTACATGCCTATTTTGGTATTTCTGTTGGAAGAAGTGTTTGTCGCCTTTTATTACACAAAGTGAATTTTGATGTACGCTAATGGTAAGAGAGGTGTCCATACTCTATAGTACAAGGTCACTTTCCTAACCACAATTAGCAATGGCTCAAAACATTTTAATAGAAAAATTCGGTCCTATATTTGGCCGAAGCCTTCAGTGGAGTTTCAACCCATCTTTTTTTTTTGGATGATTGGAATATTTGTAGAATTTCCCTTGGAATGGTTACTATATGAAGACCATGACCTAGAGAATGTCGAGGAACAAGAGGTAACATGTTTATTGGAATACCTACATGATGCGAGTTATTATATGCTCTTCCTTTTCTTCCACGGTCAGGTGCTTACCATATCTGCAACTTGGAATAACAAAGATGCTGTTTGTTTTAGACAAATTTTAACGTCTCACTTCCTTTGTTCCCGCTCTTTTTGCTAGGTCGGTCAGGCACTGGGGATCTCAACTTCATGGTCACACCATCCTCTTTATTCACCCGGTATTTAACCTTGCTCCCCTGAAACCATTTCATTTTTCTTTGGCCGAGTGTTTTGCCATCTAATAAATATCTTTACCCGAACCTGATAAGATTCTGATAGGTCCGCGTGTTGGCATTGAGTATGCGTCGGCTGAGCATGTAAGTGCGCTGTGGAGATTTGCCATTGCTGGTAGTTCTTGGATAAGTGCTCCAAAGAACACTCTCAGGCCTCCTTGAATATGATCAGAGGCTCTGTTTATATAGGGTCTTTTGAAATGTGATTGTATGTATTTTGTGGGTTTTGTGTGTTAAGGTCAAATGCAAAATAGCTTGAAAGGTTTAATGGAATTAGATTGTTTATATTTGACGTTACATATGATCTTTGATACGGATTTTTCTTTTTTCTTTTGAGGAATACTCGTAATTGTTTCTTTGGTGTGCAGTATTTGACGTGTAGCTTCAGGGTTGCCAGATGTTTTTGGGTGTTTTCATGTATAAATTATGAATGCAAATACTATTTATCCAATTGTCCAACGTAAATTATTTCTTATGCACCTTTTTTATGAACTGCAGAAAAGAATGCAAAAAAGAACACTAAGATTTTCCTCTAAATTTTCTTTTTCAAACCACTAGATGAAGTTGAACACAGAAACTTTACATTTTATTATTGCTCGATGAGAAATCTTATTTGAAATCTATTTTTAAGGTTTAATTAAAAAAATGATCGCTATTTTTAAGGTTTAATTAAAAAATGATCGCCTGAGAGAACCCTCGCGGGGAAACCCCATGGGACTTAGCAGGCACACGCCTTAACCGACCGGCCAAAGCGACGGCGTGAGGGAATGAATGTCAAACAGTTTAATGAACAAACGAAGGAACCAGGGGAAAAAATCGTACAAAAAGCCCTCTACGTATAATCGTACACAAATTAATAGGTAAAATTAACAAATTGGTTTTTTTTTGACTCACTTAACCAATTTGATATTTTTTTATAGCTCCGACAACTTTTTGGTTTTTTTTCTTAGCCCGATGGTCAAGTAGACCCAAAACCCAAAAGTTGACCGCCGACTAATAAAAAATAGGTTTTGGTCCTTCAAATCTCCAGTAGTTTGATATTAACCCCTCAAATCACTGAAATTCATCTCCCCCTCCCTCCCTCCCTCCTCACCTTTTTCATGTTTTCTCGTGGAGGGACGGATCGTGGGTGAGGGGTTTGAGCTCCACCATGGTGAGGTGGGAGGAGATGGAGGAGTTTTGGGTCAGGGATTTTGAGGGTTTTGAGAAGGGACGAAGCGTCGAAGAACGTGAAAGGGAAGAGGAAGGCGGTGGAGCGCAAGTGAGGTAAGGCGGAGGCAAGATGTCAAGTTTCAATGATTTGAGGGGCTAATATCAAACCACTAAAGATTTAAAGGACCAAACTATTCTTTTTAGCTGGCGGTCAACTTTTGGGTCTATTTGATAATAGGTCTAAGAAAAAAATATCAAAAACTCGCCGGAGCTAAAAAAAAATACCAACTCGATTAAGTAGGCCTAAAAAATATCAATTTGATAATTTTGCCACAAATTAATAAGGATATTGCACTCGTGTTCCGCTACTCATTCTTAATCAATTCAATCAATATACTACACCGTGTAATGACAATGTAGTAACAAGGTATCAATCCATTTTTTAGAGAATCATACGTGAAGTAATAAAGATAGTGTGACTGTAGCGTATCATACTAATTTACTCCTCTATACAAATGGGAGAACCCAAGATTCACTATCCATGCTACATCAATGTTATAGTAACTTTTACTGTAACATTTATTACTGAAGCAAACACGGAACGACATACTGTAGTATTTTTTTTTTTGAAAAACGACACTGTAGTTTTTTAAAAATCACTATAGCAGAGACAATATGCTGTAGCAATCCAAAAAATAACTGTATCGTTTTAAACCGGGGTTACTGTAGTGGGAAAAAAATAATATGTCGTGTTTTGCACGGTGTTCACACTAGTTTTAAATCAGTACAATCTAATTATTGTAACAGAAATTATTCATGTTATATTAGTTCAATCCTAATATTATATTAGTACAGTTATCAATTTAAAAATCTATACAACAATAGCAATCAGTCTCTACTTTCTCGTTGCAAGATTTTCTTTCAAAGGTTCTTCTATAGGATCTTTTTTACTCTAGTAACGGAGAGATGAGAGACAGAGAAAGACAACAGTTCTTTCTTATCTACTCCACTGAAAAAGAAAAACAAGAAAAAGAATGATTTTATGTCTATAGTAGCATCGTTGCATGTGCAAGTGACATTAAATTGGTGTATATTGAAAACTAAATAAATTATATTTCCCCCCATATATCCCCTTCGGTTCAAAAATTAAGTGGTGTACTATATCAATTTATCGCATCTCATTTTAGTATTATCCTTGTAAAATTTTTTTATCCGTAAAACACAGAGATATGTGAAACATCTAAAAGAAAGATAGAAATATCTGAACTCTAGCCGAACCTTGAGGGCTTTGTTTGGCAACCGACTAAAATTAGGTCACACTTGTTCCTTACACTAGTTTGAAAAGAACTGATTTGTTGTGACCCAATTTTATAAAGTTACCGAACACACCCTTCCCCTATTTAACCAGTTATATATTTATTTTAATTAGCAAAAAAACAACTTCCAATCCTAGTTCTATTAGGACTACAAACTCATAATTCATAAAACCCATATATACCGACTTGCAATCGGACTCCTTATCCCACACCATATTGCCTTCCCTCGTCGCTCGCATACAAATACACCTACTACATCCTCCACCCCCTTCCTTCTCAAATTAATTACCACCACTATTAAACTCTCTAATTAATCGTTCTCATGTACGCCGTCAATTACCTCTCCGGTGTACTCTCGGTCTTGTTCGGCGTATTCGTTCTGTCGTACGTATTTTGCCCTATAATACGCAGATGGGCGAAGCGAGAGATCGACAGGCGCAGGCTTGACAAGTTGATGCCGGCGTCGTTCGGATACGACGTCAAGCAGAGCTCCGTTTTCGGGTGCGAGTGCTGCATATGCATCGAAGAGTTTGCGCAGGGCGACCGCTGCAGGCTGCTGTAGCCATGTTTTTCACGCCGCCTGCATTGATCGGTGGTTCGAAGAAGCGTTGAGTTGTCCGGTTTGTAGGGTTAGATTGAGTAGTAGCAGCAGTAAGATGAATGATGAAAGAGTTTGATACTGTGTTGCCTAGTTTTTTTTTTTAATAATCCAGTCTAGAATAGAATCCAAGATACACGAGTCGTATTGGAATCTTCCAACCATCCGGACCACTTGTCATGTTATATAGGTTTCAATGTTTGAATTTTGGATTGTGAGGTCGTTGGGGTTTTTTTTTTCCTTTTTAATTTTGGCCGGTAGACCGAAACGTATGATATAAATATTTTTGTATTAGAAAGAGAGAGAAAGAAACATGACAGTAAGCGGGTGTTTGTTTCAAAATTTTTTTGGCATTTGGGTGAGATTTCAAATTCTAGGATCAAAAAGTGGGTTTTTTTTGGGTTTTAGAATTCCATAAAACTTGTTTGTTTCAAAACAAGTTTTAGAATATCAAATCCCCAAATAATAAAAAAAGTATTATATTTAAGGTTTTTTAAAATCCTTTTTTTTTTGTGGGATGTGGGGTGGATTTCAAAAGTGTTAGACAAATTAAGGATTTCAAATTCCAAAAAATTTGAAACAGTGGGATGTGGGGTGGATTTCAAAAGTGTTAGACAAATTAAGGATTTCAAATTCCAAAAAATTTGAAACAAACAAAAATATTACGGATTTCAAAAGTGTTAGACAAATTAAGGATTTCAAATTCCAAAAAATTTGAAACAAACAAAAATATTACGAATTATAGTATTCCAAATCTCAAAATATTATTGAAACAAACAAAGTTTTAGGAATCCCAACCCATAACAAATTAGCTATGGATTTTAAATCTCATGGTGAAATTCATATCCTAAAATTATAGGATTTGAAACAAACACCGCCTAAGAGGAAGTAAAAATAGGGTTTGGGAGATTGACTTTAATATTCGTCTATTATTAGTGAAATCATAACTTGATTGTACTTCAAAGACATTTGAAGTCGCTTTGATAGCCGAACCTCATTAAATATCTGTTTTCTTGTTAATTTTTTTCTTTGGCTTTCGATACCGTCTTTTACGGGGGATTTGATTCATATTAAAAAAAAAAAATCCATATTTGTAATATTGTTTATTTGCATGCATATTAAAGAGGATTTTGTGGATGACAAATCTAAGAAAAAAGATCTTATTTGGTTGAACATGAATTTATTGAGAATAGTATGGTATAATATCGCTTCTTTTTATTTTTTAGATAAGCCTTAATAAAATCAGAGTGAAATCAGTATATTCATCTAGAACTTAAAACTGGAGCTGGGATAATTTGTAGGATAAATTTTTAAGGTGTTAGTCACATAGAACTAGGAAATGGAATATATTTTTTATAGTGTTAGTCAAGTAGAACTTTTGTAGAACTAGAACTGTATTATTTTCTGGTGCGCTAGTCAAGTAGAATTCTACTAGAATTAGAATTGGGATAATTGGTCATAATTATCCCACAAATTATACTACCTATATATATAACCATAAGTTCTACTCTCTCAAATTATCTCACACATTGGAAAGAATAAAATTGGGAAAAAAAGTGAAACACCGCCTCCCTCCCTCTTGGTTAGTTTCTCCGCCTAGAAAATTTTTCTGCCATGAAGTCAATCATCCGTTTATTTTTTCTGTCTTTACTTTGTTTTTGTGATGATCAGATCTTTTATTATTATCTTCAAGATGTATTACTTTATTGATAGCTTTTTGACGTTAAATTACTTTATTATTGTTTGTTTGATCTAAGTTTTCTCTCCACAACAGTGGTTTAGGTTAAGAATATAGTGTTGGTGGGTTAATGCTAAAGTTATGCGGGCTATTTATGTTTTTTTTATAAGTTAGAAAGCAACTTTGCGATCACATTGATGATTAGATATTGAATGGTTAATGGTTATATCTATTATTATTAAATCGGCTCAGTAAATTGATTGGGATATTTATAGTTCATCTGTCGATCATCTGTTTAGCGGCCATGGATGATTCCTGTGTACATTTCATTTATTTGCTGATTTGGTTTCAGCGATCATGATGAGATTGGTCCAAAGTGTTAATGGCTGAAAAATGCTTATTTTTCTTTCTTTATAATGTTATGAGATTTGAACTTTGACATTTATGATCCTCCACTAGAAGCTCCACGAAATGTTGCTGATGCAGACGATGACTCCAATAAAGAAGAGAAGTTACAGACTTAACGAGCAACTGTAGGAGCTTGGAGAAATTCTATGACAGATGTCATGTGGGATGATAGAAGCCATGTGAGATGATGGAAGTCGAGTCACTCTAGGGATTTAGATTTTTATTTATTTGTAAATTTTTTATTATTTGAGATGAATAGTGATGCTTTATTGCATTATATTTTATAGTTATTACTAGAATTTGCTTATCAATATTATATTATTTTTAATATACAATTATTAATAATAGTAATTTATACCCACCATTACCCCCACCAAATTATCCTACCAAATTATACAACTTCATAATATTATCTATCATTATCCCACCAAAATATCCTACCAAATTATCCCACTTTACCAATTATCCATCATTGTTCCACTAAATTATCCCAGTGTCAAAAAATTATCTTATTTTATCAATTATCCCAGTTCTACTTAAAAAGTTCTAGGTGACTAACCACCCCTAGGGAATTAGAATTGATGCATTAATCATTAGTCCTACGTGACAGCTCTAATTTTATGATTAAAAAAATGCTAACCAAACAATGTATTTAGTTAAAATTCAAGATTTTGATCTTGTAGGTCCCATTTTTCGAATGCAAAGTTGTAAAATGTAAGCAAACAAATAGCCCCGTGTTGAGACTACTACTTTTTATCACAATAGTTAATTATCTACTAGGTGATTGCAATTAATTCCAATTCTAACACTCACCATATATACCCCCATGAATAACATACATTCCTAATTTATACTCGAAGAAAAAAAAAACTTAACCATTTACTTGAGAATCAATGATTGTAATAAGTTAAATACCCATATTGGTATTTTAATTCCACATCATTTACCAAAAAGATATTTTAATTAGGCAAACCTGCTTTAAGGTATTTTAATTGAGTCAACTTACCAACAAGGTTGGTGACTAGATTTCCGGCGAGAGCTCGTCACGTGCGTGGCACGTGATGACTTAAACTATTTTTTAGTTGTTGATGTGGCACGGATTTTCTGACGTGACAGTGTTTAAAGGTAGGAATTAACACTCTAAAAATCCTAATTTACCCAAAATAAGACAGATCCGTGCCACATCAGCATCTAAAAAACAGTTTAAGTCATCACGTGTCACGTACGTGACGAGCTCTCGCCGGAAAACAGGTCGCCGACGAGAAAAATGACATTGTTGGTAAGTTGAATCAATTAAAATGTCTTAAAACATGTTTGCCTAATTAAAATAACTTCTTAGTAAATGGGGTGAAATTAAAATACCAATACGAGTGTTTAGCTGTTTGTAATATAACAATGATCTGTCCACCATTTTTTTAGTAGCAGAAAGTATCAGAATCTGTTGTTAGCAACTAGAAAGTGATAGCCAACGATTTCTTTGTAGTGTTTTTGGATACCAAGGCGATTTTTTTGTAGTGTTTTTTAAAAAAACACTATGCCAAGACGTTTTTTTTTTCAAAAGTGTTTTGAAAACACCATTGTTAGTTACTATTATATAGCGGCGGTGGCGGCCGGACGGCGCGGCTGCGGTGGTGCGGCGGAGGGCGTGGCGGCTCGCGGCAATGGCGCGGCGGTGTGTGGCCGGGCGGCGGGCGCGGCGGCGGCGGCCTGACGGGCCACGGCGACGACGGCCGGTAGGTGAGTCTCGGCGGGCGCTGGCTGTACGGGCGGCGACTACGGCACGTGCCGCGGCGGCGACGACCGGCACGCCTGCGAGCGAAGCGGGCAGCGGCAGCAGGGCGCGCGAGCAGGCGGAGCTGGCTGGCGAGCCGGCGACGATCGGCGGCGTGGGAGGACGGTGCCGCGGCAACTGGTCCGGCGGCGCGGGCGACGCGGCGGCGGGCCACCCGCTCCAGTAACGCGTGGCACCGTGACGGACCTGGCGACGTCGACGTGCCTGGTCGGCGACCGGCGGGGAGAGGGGCAGGGTGGCGGCGGAGGCGGCACCGCGACGGCGGCGTCGGTGCGACGTCCGCTACGGCGGTTGGCGTAGTGCCGGACGGGTGGCGGGCAAGCGAGCGGCGACGTCTTAGATGAAAAAAACGGAATCTCAAAACACCTTTTTGGTGTTTTGAGAAAAGTGTTTAATTTTTGGATTTTGTAAAGAGTGAAGTTAAAAAAACGCCCCGGTTGCCAAACGCGTTTCATTGTTTTTTTTGAAAAAAAAAACAGAAACGACAAAAACGCCATGGTATCCAAACGCTTTAATCATTTGAGTAACAAATGTCTTCAGAATTGTCGACCTAATAGAAAATTTCATGATGCGGACAAATACTAAATAACTCAGTGATTGGGGGAAGTAATAACAATTTTAATGATTTGAGAGACCAATTTCATAACATAAAAGTTATAAGGCGCTAATACGGAAAAAAAAAACTTAAATAAAGGAGAAGCTTGTTTATGTAGCTCAAGCGAGGGGGCCATGTGCAAAAAACGCCACCGTCTGCGTTGAAGACGGACTCGTAAAATTTTGCCTTGGTATTTATAGAAAATCCCCGACTCTCTCCTCTCCCCATCTCTCTCGAATCCGACTGGATCTCTCTCTCTCTCTTTTCATCCTGATCGGATCCCGTAAGTCTCAAACCCTAGCATTTTATTTTTGTAATTTTTTTAATAGAAATAGATACTGAATCCCGTTTGATCCCTAAAAATGACGATGGCGTGTTATTCTGAGCTCAATTAATCTACCAAACTAACAATTATGGTCACTGTTTGTTGAGATTTTTGTATAAGACCCAGATCGATGAACAATTACCGATTAATTTATGCATCTTTGCTCTAAATTGAGATCAAATTACCGATTATGAATATATCTATTTAATTTGCAGGGTAATGGATAACGAGTGTTCTTGTTGTTGAAAAAAAGCAGGAATTTTGTGCAGTGAAGAGCTCAATTCCGTAGATTGTTGAGCGAAGAAGATCGACAATGTTTTCATTGTTCTATGGTCTCTGGAAGCATGTTTTCAGCAAGACCGAGTTCCGTGTACTTATCCTCGGAGTCGAAAAGGCTGGGAAAACTGTAAGCTTTATTTAACTTTGTTTCCCTCCTGTTTATTTTGCATTGTCTTGGCTTGTGTCATCATTTGCATAGTTGTCAATTGATAATGTGGTTGTTTTACTTACCCCTACTCTAGTTTCTGGTAATATAATAGAAATTTCTAGTGATTTCGTGGACTAACATCATGTTTGCTTGAGGTTCCATGATAAATTCTAACGATCTATTCAAACCAAAAATTTATCTTCTCTAGCGGTTAGGGTTAATAAGGTTCACGAAACTGAACTTGTGTATGACAAGTGAAGACAAATAATTAAAATGGAGGCCCTGATACTACAAGTCCTGTAATGGGTCCTGAATCTGTGCATATTTTAATGAAAACAGTCATTTTATGAACCTCGTTATTGCACATGTGCAAAGCACCTGCTAAAAGTTAGTTCTGCAAATATTTGAGATTTGAGTCTAATCGTTGTCATAATGTTTACGCATCCGAGAATGTTTTCATTCTCTTTTCTTTTATTAGACATTATTGGAATCACCCAGAATTAAAGGTTTCAATTAGTCATTTTATGAACCTTTGTTTGTATTAGTCTAGCTAGGCACTAACCAGTTGTGATATGGCGTTCCCCGCTGGGGTTTAAGTATACAGTAGTGTAGTCGTAATGAGCACTTTTGGAATGTTAGTTTGCAATCTGCATTACATATGTCAAGCAAAGATTAGTAATCCCCCTGAAAAGATTCAAATACATATTCATTATTACAAAAACAGTACTTGAATCATGTATTGTGTATTTTATTGGTCTTGTATTAAAAGAGATGGACAAGTCAGTGGTATGATGGATATTTAATTTAAGAAGTTGGAGAAGAGAAACAAGAGTTTTGGAATAAAACAGTTATTGGTCGGGGAATAAAGTTTGTTCTGCTGCTTTCTTATCCAAAAACAGACGGATATCCACACTATCATAATTGGTTAAGTCCTGGGTTTCATAGTGTCAGTTGATCTTTTCAATCCAAAGTGAATGGCTAAGACTTGAATGCTCGTCCTAGGTTTCTAGGTTGCGAGGAGTTAGGGTCTTATAATCGATGAATCCTTCTAAAAGAAAGACTCCAAGATAAAGTGGAGTGAGCGAGATTAAAAAAAAATGGTAGAGAGCATTGCAGTTATACCAAAACATAAAGTTTTATGGTTGTTAAATTGATGATTGTTTCACCAATGGAGGACCTTCTTTCCAAGGGACGAATTTTCATCACCTTGTGTATTTTTCTCAATGTATCTTGTACCTGGTTAAGAGGGAAGGCCATTTACTCTTGAGGTCCTGCATAGGATTCAAGAAAGTGGCTTTTGCTCTCTCGTACTCCATGTTATTATTGAAATATATCACAATGCCCTCCCCATGAATGTAGGATGTGTTTGTACAAATCACCTTTATCTTATATGTTGTGCTTGTTTATTTCTTTTTGCCATGTTAATGTGCACAATGTTCTAAATGTCGGATGTCGGGATCATTGGAAAATTCCATGTCAGATAGTGGATACCAATGATATATTGAGGATATATAGTCGTATCGGATAGTGTGTATGCAATATCAAATCATAGGTGTTCTAAATGAAATCTAAACTTATAAACATACCAAATCATATATAGATACACCATCATACACGTACTTAGAATTACTAAACGATTTTAGAAACTAGCTTCTAGATTGCTTCAATAGATTATATTAGATTGTCTAGGATGAATAGCTTCGTTTAGTACCCTTTTTAACCTTTTAATTATTGTTTTTAGTAATTAAAGAGGGTTTCTACTGGATGTATTTAGAGTTAAACAAATTCTTTTCCTTTACGTTTATTCCATGTTATTCTTTTTTTGCTCCTGTCCCCTATATCTTCTTTTGTTTGTAAATCAAAATAATTGTTCCAGTGCTACTGTTCAAATGTGTTTATCAGTTGGAAGGAACCTTATTTCATGATTTACTGTAAACACCACATCTAGAGCTCATGATTGCACTTCAAGTTATAGAAATCTAGTACTTCTTTAAACAACTTTGGTACAGCAGATTAGGACAATTTGATTCATGGTTGATCATTGTTCTGGCTCTTCAAGGGTTGCAGCTTTATTTCCATGTTTACAATTGATACATCATACATGAATAATACAATCTACATATAAAATCTTTAAGAAAAACAAAAAAGCAAGTTTGTTTATATTTATATGCCCGAAAGTGTAGATTTAAGTAAAATATCACATGCCTTAAATCGTAGAGTTAAGTAAAACAACATATTTGTTGTTGATCTTTGCACGTGCTTGGTGCATGAATTTTGTTCTCAAACTTCATGATTTTTTGTTTAAATTCTTAAAGTGAAGTATAAGGGACCAAACTCTTTTTCTATATACGCGAATAATGTGCTACTTTAGCCTTTTGTCTGGTGTGATGATAATGTGCCGTTCATCCAATTCCTTGTGGATCAGGTGTAGTAATGATTTTTGTTGTAGAGGGTTGGATATGCAGATGTTGGACTAGCACACAAAACCCTTACATTTATATATGTAGCATAGTTACATTTATATATGTAGCATAGCATGTATGTCCGTAGTTTGTGCTTAATGTATAAAAATTGACGCCAATATAAGAAACATGATTTAGAGCCATCAGATAACTGGTTTATTACTCTCTACTACTGGTGTATGTGACTTCTAAATAGTTTTGATACAAAAAGGCAATATGTAGAAATGTTTGAAACCATGTAAGTTTGTTATTTATTTAATTCCTTACATTCAATATACATGAGTTTGTGTTTCATGTTTATTGGGTTTCAAGGTATTACGTATCTTGTTTAAGTAGAGTTCTGTTTTTCTTTCTGATAACATATAATCTTTGTTTAGACTTTGCTAGAGAAGTTGAAGTCCACATACACTAATATGGAAGGGCTCCCTCCTGATCGAATTGTTCCAACAGTTGGACTTAACATTGGTCGTATTGAAGCTGCCAATTCAAAACTTGTATTTTGGGACTTGGGAGGTCAGGTATGTTTCTTTGGATTCTGAATTTTGTGGAGTTGTTCTCACATTATATGTATATTAATTAATATAATTGTATAACCATGAGCTTCCTTTCATGTGTGTATTGAAGACTTTTGAGGAAAAAATATTTTTCTTTAAAAAAGAATCTATTTTGATATGGCCATGTTGATTGTGATTTGGTGGAATTTCTATTCCTGCAGTTATAATATTACAGTGATAATATTATAGGAACTTCTCATGCTTTTAACCATAACATGACATTACCTTATCTATGGGAAACCAGTTTGAAGCAAAACCCAATAACCGGCATTGTAAAGGTTTTCTAGTAGAAAAAGATAGCTAAGAAAAAAGAGAGAAGCTTGAAGCTTGTAGAAAGAGATAATAGAGAGAGCAAAACCCTAACTTATTGTTTATTGAGATAATAAGAGAGATATATATAGCCATACAAATAGGGTTAACCCATAGATGGCCTTATCAAACCAAAATTAGAAATAACCTTGCTGAACTTATCAAACCAAGCTCGAGGACTCTGCTTTAACCCATAGATGGCCTTTCTCAGCCTGCAGATAATATTCTCCCCTTGAGCAACATACCCAGGAGGTTGCTCCATATAAACCTCCTCGTCCAAATCACCATAAAGGAAAGCATTATTCACATCTAGTTGGTGCATTGCCCAATCCATATTAACCGCCAGAGAGAAAAGAATTCTGATGGAGTTGAGACGAGCAACGGGCGAAAAGGTTTTAAAATAGTCGACGCCATATATCTGGGTATAACCTTTAGCAACCAGGCGAGCTTTGTAATGATCAACAGATTCATCAGGGCGATATTTCAGGGTATACACCCATCTGCAACCAACCACAGTCGCTCTAGTAGGAAGAGAAATCAAGTCTCAAGTTCCTCTAGAAAGTAGTGCATTCATTTCCTCATCCATAGTTTGCTTCCGATCTGGTACTAACATAGCTTCCTCATGTGACCTGGGTATAGATACAGTGGACAAAGACAAAGCAAACTAACGAAAAGATGGGTTGAGACGGTCATAAGAGACAAAAAGAGAGATAGGATATTTCGGAAGACCGTTTACCTTTTCGAAGAGCAATAGGGATATCCAAATCAGAAGGAATAGAGGTCTCAACATGAGATGGAACGACAGCTGGAGATGAAGATTCAGCAGAAGCAGATTCAGGGGCATGTACTTTCGGACGGCGAGAGTATGTCAGTAGAAGCTTCGGTGCAAGAGCTACAGGAACAGGTAATGGAATAATAGTAGGAGCAGAGAAAGGTAGTGGTACCTCTAGACACCCAATACTAGTGGAAGCAGACGAAAAATAGGAGACAGACTCAAAAAAGGTAACATCAGCAGATACAAAATATTTCCTGATGGCTGGATGATAACACCTATATTCTTTTTGAGTACGAGAGTATCTAACAAAAACACATTTGATGGATCTAGAAGATAACTTATCCAAACCAGCAGTTAAATCCTGAACAAAACACGTTGAACCAAAGACACGGGGAATCATAGAGAATTATTTTTTATCAGGATAAAGACAATTGAATGGTATTAAACCATCAAGGACAGAGGAAGGCATGCGATTAATCAAATAATTTGCAGTGAGAACAGCATCAGACCACAAATACTTTGGAATATTCATATGTATCATCAGTGTTCTAGCAACATCTAGAATATGCCTATGCTTCCTCTCAGCAACTTTATTTTATTGTGAAGTGTGAGAACAATAAGTCTGATGAATAATGCTATTAAGAGCACAAAATTTTAAAACATCACCTTTCATATATTCCAAAGCATTATCAGTACGAAGAATACTGACAGAAGTAGAGAATTGAGTTTTTATTTCATTATAAAAGAGTTCAATAACGTGCGAGGCCTCTGACCTCTCTTTTAACAGATAAAACTACGTCATGCGAGTGAAATCATCAACAAAGATAATAAAATATCGAAAACCTTTCACAGAGGGAACACGATAAGGACCCCAGACATCAGAATGAACCAACTCAAAAGCAAAGCTACTACGTTTATTGACTCGACTCTGAAAAGTAGCACAATGATGCTTACCTAGTTCACAAGACTCACAACCTAAAGAGAAAATAGATGACTGAACAGAAACTACCGATCTAAGTTTTTGTAGTGAAAGATGACCTAGACGTCAGTGCCACAATAAAATAGAGTCAGACTGTGATGCAACAAGACTAGTCTTTGTCACACTATCGTCAAAATAGTACATACCTCCTCTCTCATGCCCCGAACCAATCTTCATCCCAGTTGCTAGATCCTGAAAAACATAATAAAATGGAAAGAACGTGACTTTACAGTTATTTTATTTTGTAAACTTGTTTATGGATAATAGGCTAACAAGGAATTTGGAAACATATAACACATCAGTTAGTTTTAAGGAGGAAATAGCATGAACTACTCCATCACCACGAACTAGAGAAAGAGTACCATCAGCAATGCGGATAGAAGAAAACTTATCAGAAAGATGTAAAGATACAATGTGATCCTTTATACCTGTCATATGAGATGAGGCTCCAGAATCTAGTACCCAGGGTTTGTGAGAAGAAGCTATGTAAGCATCCATACCTGAAGAGGATGCATGAGTAACAGAATGAATGTTCTGAGAGAGTTCTAGCTGGCGTAACCTCTCATAATCTGCCTGAGAAATCTGAACAGTAGGAGCAGTAACAGCTGGACCATCAGAAGTAGTAACGGTAATAGATGAGTGAGTCGATTCAGTATCAGCTACCTGGGCCCACTGAGGACGACCAAACTTCTCCCAACACTTCTCAGAAATATGATTGGTTCTTCCACAGTGACCACACTGACGTGAGCTCTTATCAGATTCACCTGACCTCCCACCAAAGGAGCCACGTCCTCCCCCTGAATCACGGCCATGATCACGACCGCGGCCTCTGCCCCGACCAGAGAATATAGCAGACTGATTCATTGTAGGTGGAGATGGTGCAGTAGTATTAGAAATAACACCAGTAGAGACCTGCATGACTCTGAAAAATATAACAGTCAGTGAGAGAATGGTATCGCCACCCAATATATGTCCTCTCACCTGGGATTGTAAAGTAGGATGCAATCCAGAAAAAAATTTGGACACTGTTAGATCTCGGCGATACCCTAATAGCGTCGTTGCATCAACTACTGCAGGCTGATGCATCTCGTCGATACCATAATCTTTAGGCTGTCCCACATCTCCTTCACAGTGGTTAAAAACATAACGTTACTACTGATCTGTGCTTTCATACTGTTGAGAAGCCAAGTCATAACACAATAATCAGATGAGAGCCATGAATTGTAGGTGGGATCTGAGGTTGGTGGTGAAGATGTCAGAAGATGTGGTAGTTTGCTCTGAGCGCCAATGAAGATGCGGAAAGCTTGTGCCCAGAGCAGATAGTTTGCACCATTCAATTTAATAGTAGTCCCCAAGACTACCTTGGACGCAGAGGTCTCACCAGCAATAATAGAAGGAGTAGTAGAGGAGGAGATGTCTGACATCGAAATAGTAGTCATTTTTTTTAGCAACAATAGGAGACAGATAGTAGTCAAATAGGCAGATTAGTAGTAGAGATCCGTTCTTGAAACATAAACTAAGAGCAGATCAGGAGCAGGATTAGAGGTAGATAGTCATGCCCTCACGCCACGTAGGCGAGATCACCTGAGGGAGAGAGCCCTGGTTTTTGTTTGCACAAAGGCTCAATTTCTATATTCTTGTTTCTCGAAGGAAACAAGAATAAAAGTGAAATATCTCAACAACGTGAGATAGACACTCTTCCTCTCATCAGTTCTATGACTGAAATGTCGAGGCTTCCTCTCATCAGTTCTATGACTGAAATGTTGAGGGATACAATCGTCCTCTCATCAGTTCGAAGACTGAGATGTCGAGGGAATAGGCAACACGATGTAGGGGGCACTGTAGCACGGTCCTGTAGCGTCGGTACTGTAGCAGCAGGCGGCGGTACAAGATGTCAGAAGATGTGGTAGTTTGCTCTGAGCGCCAATGAAGATGCGGAAAGCTTGTGCCCAGAGTAGAGAGTATGCACTATTCAATTTAATAGTAGTCCCAAAGACTACCTTGGGTGCAGAGATCTCACCAGCAACAATAGAAGGAGTAGTAGAGGAGGACATGTCCGACATCGAAGTAGTAGTATTTTTTTTAGCAACAATAGGAGACAAATAGTAGTCAAATAGGCAGATTAGTAGTAGAGATCCGTTCTTGAAACATAAACTAAGAGCAGATCAGGAGCAGGATTAGAGGTAGATAGTCATGCCCTCACGCCACGTAGGCGAGATCACCTGAGGGAGAGAGCCCTGGTTTTTGTTTGCACAAAGGCTCAATTTCTATATTCTTGTTTCTCGAATGAAACAAGAATAAAAGTGAAATATCTCAATAACGTGAGATAGACACTCTCATCAGTTCTATGACTGAAATGTCGAGGGATACAATCATCCTCTCATCAGTTTGAAGACTAAGATGTCGAGGGAATAGACAACACGCTGTAGGGCGACAATGTAGCGGCGGTACTGTAGCGGTGGTACTGTAGCAGTGGTATTGTAGCGACAACGGCGGCTAAGGTTTTTGAATGAGGATTTGTGACGGCTAGGGTTTGATGCTCTGATACCATGTAGAAAGAGATAATAGAGAGAGCAAAACCCTAACTTATTGCTTATTGAGATAATAAGAGAGATATATATTGCCATATAATAGCCCATTAACCCAATACCCAATACTTAATTTAACAAAGCTGTTTTTTGAAAAGCAAACTTGGAAGTAATATAAATGTCATACGTTGTATTTTTACTCTCCTTTCTCTTTGTCTCCTATATTATTGATTCATCTTGGAATTTTCAGGAGAGGATATGTGATACTCTTATGATGACCACTCATGAAATTATAGCTTGTAAATAAGATTAGGTTATGAGCATAAGTAGTTGAATGTGTTTGTTCCTAAAGAAGTTATGAAGAAACTATGATACAACAGTACGTTGATTTAACCTGGTGAACATTTGTCGTGATCCTTTTGGTATAGAGGCTGGTTGCAACTGAATTTAAAGTTCTTTATTGCAATTTGACCCCCAACAACTTCAAATGACCTGGATCTTCTATTCCTGTCCTGAATTTTTGTTATGGAAACCTCATGAAGATTTCCGTAGTTAAACTCAATATTTGTTTGCCCTTTATCTTTTGATCTATATCAAATCTGATATATTACCTTCTGTATGTAGATTGGTCTACGCACAATTTGGGAGAAGTATTATGACGAGGCACATGCAATAATATTTGTAATAGATGCTTCACGCCCTTCTTCTTTCGAAGATTCCAAGTCTTCATTGGGTCAGTGCTGATGATTTTACGTAACTTTTGTTTAAACTGTGTTTTTGGCCTTACACTTCATGTGCATGGAAATATTTATGCTGCAAGTTAGTGGAGTCTTTAATATTCTGATATTACTAATAATAGACAATGGTTTACAGAAAAGGTACTTCGACATCAGGATCTAAAAGGGGCACCCATTCTGATACTAGGGAACAAGCAGGTGAATACATAGCTTTTGCTTTTCACACCCTTCTTTAATATTTTTCTTCGTGGTGTAAGCTTTTTCCTAGATTATTAATTATTTCTTAAGTTTAAGCTTTTGTTTTTCTATAACCTCTTAAACCTTTCAAACATCTAGATTCATTCGTTCATGGTCTCAGTTGAAGGAATTCGAGTGTTATTTCTGCTAGTATATCTACAATTAGCAATCTACTGGTTATTAAAAAAATTTAAGATCAAAACATTCAGGTCATTCGCACTGGTTGAACATCATGTTTGTATAGTTTTTATTTTTTATAACTTTCTGTCATTTACATACACTATGTCTAGCGTATACCTTGTGTGAAGTTTTACTAAGCTCACCAGCCCATATTTACCTTGTTGGATATTTTATTCCTCTAGAAATTGAGGTCATTGCCTAAGCGTTTATTGCCATCACATTGAATAATGGTTGTTCAATTGTTTGATAGATATAAGGGTAGAATACTATCTTGAATCTAGTTGTTTATTTATGAGCTCTTTTGATGGAGGTTTCTGTAAATGAAACACAAGTTGTAGCTCCGTCATCACAGATTCGAGAGAACCTAGATTTGATGAGTTGAAATTTTCATATCAGACTAATATCTAACAGGGGCTGATAATCTAGAAATGTGCATTGTGGGGTTCTTGGTTGCTCTTTTGGTTGTGAACCTGCGATGATCCTTTGATTAGCTTTTTTGAGCGAGAAACCTCTTGACGCTATGTGTAACAGGATCTCCCTGAAGCTGTATCATCTGAAGAACTTGCTAGATATCTGGATCTCAAAGAGTTGGACGAGAGGGCACACATGTTTGAAGCTGTTTCTGCATACAGTGGGTAAGTAGAAGAAATTCATGTTCCTTTCGTATGTTATCTTTCTCTTGTACATAGTTTTTTCCCCAAAAAAAGGAAAAAAAAAAGAAAAAAGAAAAGAAAGAAAGCCCATCGTTTCAAACTGAATTACTCATGATGATGCAGTTGATTTTTTTCCAATGGAAACACCAAAACCAGATTTTATCAATATAATTTCTACGAAACTTGGCTGCAGTTTGTAGGATAGAAAAATCTTCTGAACCAACCATCACATGCACATTATACAAATACAAAAGTATGATACATGTCATCAAAATTGAAAAAAATGAACTTGTAATTGTAGTCAACAAGTTGTGCTAAAAAATGAAAGATTAAACGGGTGTCTATAGTGTGAGAATGCAATGTCTGTGCATCTATTGCTTTTAGCCTTTGAAGATTCCTTGAATCCAAGCCTGACTTTTATAGCAGATATCTGAAGTTCACTTGGTGTGTTCTCTGTAGGTCATGATTAGCAGCCTGATATAGAATTTTACCTGATCAAATTGCAATTTGGCGTGCTTATTCAAGCAATAGGGTGGTCTTATTTAGTGTAGTAAAATCAGAATTAAATTACTTTCTACTGAAAAAAAAGAAACATTACCAAAATTTAATGGAAATTTTCATTATAAACTTGTCATCGTTTTTGTAGGATGGGAATTAAATTGGCTGTCGACTGGTTGGTGGAGGTGATGGAAAGAAGTAAAAGAACAGAACTGCTTAGGGTACGTGCAGGTGCATATGGAAACATTTAGTAACATCCATACCCAACCTTAATTTGGATCAACGATATCTACAGCTGAGGCAAATATGATGCGGAGACAGTGAAAATTTTATTCAGACTGTTTGGAATCATGATCTGCTTTGTTTCTGCGTCAATTGCATTTATGTCGATCTCATATTGGCCAAAGAAATTGCGATCAACTGCTCCCAACCTTCACACCTGTGTAAATCAGCATGTATTGTTTGGATCTAGTTACAGTGACAACTTTTTCAATATAGCATCAAATACAAATGGCTACGATGGTTTTTGTAATCTTTTAAGTTTCTGAAAGAACGAGCTGGTAAAGCTCTGGGTTACTCTGTCTGCTGAGGGACTAACTTGATCTTGTGTAGTTGGAGAAGGTAATAATATTGATATGGAGATTCTTTTGCAATATGATCTGAAAACGACCGGCCAGTCTCCTGCCCCTCAAAATGTGCCTAGGGACTCAACTGGTTAGATGATTTCCTTCCTTTCTTCCGCTTGATTAATACAAATTTGGAAGCGGGGTAGAGTAACGGAATGATGGTTATGAGGTGGTGCCACATTTAGTAAATGAGCTACCGAAAGATAGAGCGGTGAGGTCCATCAAAACGTAGACCTCAACACTAGCATATTTTTTGGTAACTCATTTATATTTCTTGGTAACTAATTTTGATAAATGAGCTGCTGCCACCTCATACCATTATTTTCTTTTCTTTTCTATAAGGGTTATTTGCACTTTAATACTCAAAAACTTTGCTCTTTTTTAAATTCTAGTATCCTGAAGTTCTATTTTGACTGTTTAATACTCTTAGTGCAAAAACGCCGGCACTAATTTTATCCAAGAATATCGCCATATAAAAGTCAAAGAGAAACAAAATTTCCTTCAGTTGGAGAAGTGAGGAACAAAGGTTTTTTGGGGGTATCAAACCGTAAAATTAGTGTCGATTTTAAACTTCAAAGTATCAAATCTTAAAAACTTCCGGGTAAGCTAAAAAGGTTACAAGTTCGGGATATTAAACAGCAAATAACCCTTTTTAATAATGAAACATTTAAGACCCAAAATCAAAAATAAACTCCTCCCTTACTACCCATTTTACCACGTGCCTTATACGTGGAGCTGAGCTTTGCCCTCATCTATTACTCACAAACAGCTCCATTGTCACGCTAGTCAAATTCTAGACACAAGTCCGTAGACCATTTAAAGTCAAAGGATCAACCTCGAATGCTACAAACTTCCACCATTAATTAACATTTAAATGACATTTCATAAGAAACTTCTAAAGAAGTCCCCTGCATAATGAGTCAAAGAGGCGGCCGCCCTGAGCCAGTCCTATATATGAACCGAAGCCTTGCACATGTAACCATCCAACCAACAAAAGCTTCTGACAAATTTTATTTGCTCCTCCAAAGTTTCAACGTGCGTCAAACTCGATCCCCTCATGGCCTTCGAGAGTTCAAGTGACGATACGCTGAAGGTTTGCTTGTTCATCTTCGTACAAGCTCTAGTGTTCATCATCCTCTCCAACTCGTCAGCAATTTTCTCCTCATCTGTTATGAGATCTCCCAGCTTCAAAAGGGCTCCGTCTGTGAACATGCGCCGAATTCTCGCGCTCCTCTCTGATCTGCCTCCGACGGGCGAGCCGTCGCCTCGGCCTGTTGATGCTAAGGACTAGATGTTCTAATTGAATTTTTGAAGGAATTCTTTTATGTGTGACCCCCCAAATATTTTTATTTGTTAGACTTATATACTTCGTCTCTTATATATGCCCTGACATATGACTTGTTAAATGTATTGGGACCGCAAGAAAAAAAAAAGTTGTGTGTATTTTCAAAGGATTGTGCCGCTGATGATGATATTCCTCTTATGAGCAACTGGACTCAGTTTGTTTCGTTGCATCAGTCTTGCCCTTTGAACCGTAATGCGATGTACAATCTTATTTGCGATTTGGCGTATGAATCATCTAGAATTTACTTTAGATAACTATATCAATTGATGACTATGGAAAAAATAAGTCAAATAAATATCGTAAAGCAAAAAAGCACAACCCCAAGATATTTATCTTGGCATTGGCCCTATTTCAAACCTTTGGCCCCCCCTTTCCCCTCCTCCTTTGCTTTCATCCCCAGTCTTGGATAAGCCTCGGCCTGTCCCTCTCTCTCCTCTCCCTTCTACAATCAAACTCTGCAGACAAAAAAAAAACACACAAACAAATGCTTCTATAATTTTCTACACAAAAAAAGAAAAAAAAAATCCAAAAAATGTCAGTTTTAGCTCCAAACCCTTCCTTAATCCACAGAGGCATATGCTGCAGAGAACAGAACAACTACTTAGCCAACAGCAATGCTTGCGTTAGTATACCAGTTAGCATTGGAGGAGTCTCTGCAGTTTCCAGAAATGGAAACAGAAGGGAGAGGAGATTGAGAGCTTTTTGGGATACAAGGCCAATATCTTTAGAGATGGAAGCCATTGAAGGAGTTGAGGAGCTTGAGGATATTCTCAGCCAATCTAAAGAGACCTCCCAGCCCGTCCTCATTGATTGGTTAGTTTAAGTAATTAAAATAAAGTTTAATGCTGTTTTGTCTCTCTAATATTTATTTCATATTTCATCACATCAAAATTTTAATGGTAATAGAAATTATCCTTGATCCAGTGGACTTGATCAACAGAATTAACAGCTTGTAAAAAAAAATTATCTTGTGTTCCTAGAGTTTGAAATTTGTACTATATATCATTTAAGGTTGATATTCTTTTTGCACATAATTAATATCATGAACCAGGCCTATTGGATACTTTCTCGTGCATGCTATTTGTTGTTAGCATGTTCCTCGTTAAAAGATCTAATTGGGTTTGGCCTAGTTTGAGTTTTGTTGGAAATTATGGTTAAATCTGGAATTGAACAGTGAAAGATGATGTGCTGTTATTTTAAAATTTTCAATTAACTGATGTGCGTTTGTGAAACGCTGTGCTTAAAGTAATATTTGGCCAACTCCGGTGCAAGGATCCCAATGCCAAACTGCTTCCAGGAACAGCAGTACAGTACTCTGGTGTGCACCAACCCAGTACTATCAAGATCTCCTTGATCTATAAGACCTTTCAATTAAGGCAAATGATCTCCTCGATCTCAGAACCTTTCGGTTCAAAACCTTTCGGTTTCAGGGTTCCTACGGGCACAGTTTCTGCAACAACAGCACAACAACAGCAACAACAACGTCGATGTGACGTTTGATTTCCAAGCTCGCGTGTGTATACCGATGTTCGTATTCTATACTAATGTTCGTATTCCATGCTCGCGAGAGAGTTTCAGCAACTACCAAGAGCTACCCAAGAGCGCTATTTATAGGCCTCTAAGGCCAGCTCAAGAGTCACTAGCAATTAATATGACTGTTACAATTCTTAATAACAATTAAGATTGTAACATCAATGTATTAACTTGCTCTAATTATTGTTGTAACTGCTGCATACAGTAACTCCTAAATACGAGGCAATCAATGGACGCGTTGCTACAAAACGCGAGGGTCACGTCTCAGCAAATCAGACGAACCTCGTTTGACAAACGAACGTCATCAAACATGTGAACCTCGTATGACAGATGAACCTCGTCGAATGAGCGAACATCGTCAAACAGGCGAACCTTGTATGACAGACGAACCTCATCGATCGAGCGAACCTCGTCAAACAGGCGGACCTCGTATGACAGACGAACCTCGTCAAACAGCGAACCTCATCGAACGAACGAACATCGTCAAAAAGGCGAACCGTCAATACTGCAGACGAACCGTCCGTCGAACGAACCAAGTGACACGCTTTGTCAAACTACGAGAAGCTAGGGTCAGCCTCATGCGAATCACGTAGCGTCGTGCCCCAGCCCTGCGAGGCAGGCCTACCTGGCGACCATAGTGGCAAGCCACGTGGCGCAAAAGCAGGCACCACGTCGGCTCCATCGCGTCCGTGCGAAAGTGCAAAGTGCGCCTAACAAAGCGTCACTTAGCGCCTCAGCCCGATTAGCCCCGATCCCCGGCCCATTGGCCTACGACCCACGACCCACTATAACTTATGAGAGATTAATTCAAATAAAACACTTCCCGGCTTGCCATTGGTAAGCCTCAAACAAGGGACATTTTGAAACATCAAAACATAAACTTTGCACTAGACTACTAAGCATTTATGAAAAGTACTTATAGTTAATATATATATAGTTTGAAAACTCATTTTGGAAAGCAGTTTTGACCAAATAATCCAACAAGTTTATATCAGTATACATCATGTAGTTAAGATGCATCTTATTTATTTATTTATAGTAACCAGGCTAAGAAGCTTGGATATTAGTTTAGAGAGAGAAGATACAGGATACAAAATAATATGCCTTGTAGCATTTCCTTTGATAATTAATTGTATTATAAGTAGTTATGAACAATTATTGATACTTATTAACATGCGGTGAGTAAGAATTTTCTTGGGGGTCACCTTGTTATGCATTTAATTGTCTATTCCATAGTTTTAAGAAGAGATGTATGTATGATTTCACGCAACGAAGCTGTTTTGCTTTCTTTAATCTTAAGAAAATTTCCTATAATTGTTTCGTTTTTTTCCTCCTTTTTTAGAAAATATAACTAGAAATATGAAGAATATGAGAATGTATGTTCAAATTAGATTGAGGCCGGATGCTTTCACTATTCAATCTACATGAGAAAGTGGTTCATGATGTAACAACTTTTTCCATTTGTTTTTGATAGTATGACACATGAGTTTCTGTAATCTGGAAAGCTCAGTTAAATCTTGGCTACTACCAAGTATTAACCTGCGTTAACTCTTGACTATTTTCTATAATTAGCAACTGAATTAATTTGAAATTGGTGTCTTAGAGTTTACATTTCACCCTAGTTCCAAGTATCTCGTCAAACGATTTTGTTTCTTTTAATCTGAAAAAAAAAAACTCAGCTAAAAATTTCTAGCTTCTTCAATAAAATAACAGGGGCAGTCCCTAAATGATGTATGTGGTTTGTTATATATAGGATGGCTTCTTGGTGTCGAAAATGCATTTACTTAAAGCCGAAGTTGGAGAAGCTTGCTGCTGAGTACCACCCAAGGTAAGTAAATTTTGTAATTAAGATGGCTTATTATTTTCCTCACTTAGTCAAATTTTATCGCATAGCTTGAGTTCTTTGATTAAGACTATACTCTTTAAAAATACAGAATCAAGTAGCGTAATACTTAGTCTAACACTAAGGTATAGTGCATGTAAATTTGAAGTAATGCTCTTTTTCACATTCATTAGTTTCTGATTTACAGAATCAAGTTTTATTTTGTGGACGTGAACAAAGTATCTCAAGCTTTGGTCAAGCGCGGGAATATTTCTGTAAGTTAAACAAGTTTCAATTTAAATTCTTGTTCTAAATCATTTGCACATATTGAAAGTAGGGAGCATATGGAGTTCTTTAAAGTTGTCTAATATCCTAATTTCATTCCCCACCTTGCTTTCCTTTGCTATGGATGAATTGCTCAATCAATTTGTTCAGAAAATGCCAACTATTCAAGTAAGTTCTAATCTTATTCCAAATTTATCATCATTTAAATGGTTCATGTAAATGAAAACATATATAAAAAATGAGTATGACATGAATGCAGATATGGAAGGATGGAGAGTGGAAAGATGAAGTAATAGGAGGGCATAAAGCTTGGCTTGTGATGGATGAAGTGCGCGAAATGATTCAAAAGCACCTCTAACATATTTTATCTACTTCTTTTTTGTACAGTTAATTTCTTCATTTATGCGGATCATTTAAACATAAATATGATTTTTTCTGCATATATATACAGAAAAGATGAAATATATAAGTTAATTTTCTGCTCATTCGAAATTTTTTCGAACGTCTTGACTTTTTTGTAATCTCCTTCGTGGATCTTATAGTCTATTTTTTAAGATATCTTTGACATTTGATAGAACTCTATGGCGTACGTATAATCTGACTAACTCTATCTCCTTTCAGTAAATTATCATTCACATATTATATTAACCCAATCTCTAAAGATTTGGTTTGCCTACCTTGGATATCTAAACAAGTCAAGTGCATGCAAGCTAATGCCAGAAACATGTAAGTTCTGCAGAAGAATCTCTACAACATCTGAAAAAGGATAAATCTCACTTAATCCCCAAACTCCAGGGGTTTTGCATACAACCCTCTTGAACTTCGTTTATTTAACTAATCTCCATGGATTTGTCTCACTTAACTCTCCATAGTAACACCACCGTGAACTTTGAGGGGTTATGTGCCCAAAACTTTTCCCTTAACGCTAAAAGGGTGCATTTTCATTTTTCAACCGCAAAATCGACACACTCTTCATAAAAGAATTAACTGCTCTTAACTACTCAGAACTCAAACTTACATACAAAGAAATTATTACAAAATTAACAAATAACAAACCGTACAATGATCAATACTTACACAACCAACCAATGAACCAACCATTGAAAGAAGAAGAAGAAGAAGAAAAATCAAATGAATGTCTATGATACATGCCACACAACAAATCACTTACAAATCATTTAAAACCCGAAACCATATTAAACAATCCTCACTCGAATGCAGAAGCTGAATTGCCCCGAACCGAAGAATCCGACGAAGGAGAAGTCTCACCGCCTGGAGGCAAATCAGAGATCAAAGCTAACATGCGCCTGATACTCACTGATCTTGCAGGCTTGAAGCTACGAGACCTCATCTTGCTCTCAGGAGAAAAAACATTCGACGATTTCGATAAAATCAAATAAACCAGAGCCTGAACCAGAACAAACATGGCCAACTTCATCAGAAGATCGCCGTTGAAGGAGAAGTCATCAAGAGACGTCATGATTGTTAATAATTTAGGATGAGGGGTTTTTGGGGTGAACTATGAATCATCGTAGCCTTTGTACGTCTATATAAGCAAGCAAATCAAGTTGCGTTTCAAATTTGACTTGCTTGTAGTTAGAAGGAAAGAGGAGGTTTCTCTTTAGTACCCCTTACGTGCTTGTTGAAAAAGTAAAAAGCTGAAAAAGTTAGTTATAACGAAGTATTCAACAGCAATTAACAAACATGTGATTTGAAAATTTTGATGAATATTACGTAAAAATAATAATAATATGATCAGTCATCTAAGCTTGTGATAGAAGAATCTGTTAACGGGGACTAGAGGATGACTCACTTGTTCAAGAAACTAAATCGAATTTAGGATTTGAGGACGCGGCCGCGTGAGATAACTTGCACGGCATTAGGTAGAGAAATTTACATTTAGACCCCTCAGGTTCTCCAAAACAAATTTTTTTCCCCCTCTTGTTTCACAGGACCCTCATGGAATCAAAAGATTCAACCTTACACATATGCACGTGCGCACACAAATTGTTGGGGGGAGAAATCAGGCTCGACTAGATCTAAAACGACTATCATACACGGTGGAGAAGGCGATATGGTGATCAAATCTTCCACAATTTTTGTGTTAATCAGACCCTAATCACGTGCGCATGCAATCTCGGGTACCAACCGACTTGATATCATCAACAAACGTGGTTAGACTGTCGTTAACTGAATATAAGGCTAAATCACTCATTCTCATCCAAATAACCGCACCCGAGGCCTATAAATATCAGCCCAATGCCTCCATTTTGCAGGGCGGATTATTATCAAGAGGGCGAGGTGTTGCCGGATTGAGGAGTCAAAGGAGCACGAATTTACAGCGAATACAAGTCAGATCCCGGCGAACTTCAGCATGCCGGATTGAGGAGTCAAAGGAGCACGAATTTACAGCGAATACAAGTCAGATCCCGGCGAACTTCAGCATAAAGAGGAAGGCTTTCGAAGGATCTGAACCCGTATCTCCCCCCGTCCGTCTGTTCCTCGAGATCAGGCTTGGTCTTAATCTCGAGAAGAGCTACTGATTTCGCTTGGTTGATTTCAGCGCTTCAAGCGAATACTTTCTTGGTGAGGTAGGAGCTCTATTAATTTTCCGACAACAGGATCTGATCCGTAGGCGGTCCACGGACATCGACGTCCTCGGCACAGGCAAAGAGAGCATAAGAAGAAGACCGATAAACGATCTCTCTGCGTTTGTTTGATAAAGTTGTAAACTTTTTATTTTTCATTGTGTAAGGAGATCTTATAAAAAGATCAACTTTTTATTTTATTTGAGTTTATTGTAACGACCAAAGTTGTAATAGATTCAATGACAATGAAAGCAACTTTTGACGAAAACACTCCCATCATAAGAACAAAGAATTACGATTCGATCGTTTATCGTTACCTCTGTAAAGATCAATATTACACAAAAAAACTTTAGAAATTAATTGTTACTAACAATTAAATCCTATATCAATTTTAGATGACCATAATTTAACCCAAATTCATATATCAAATTTTAAATTCTATATCAACTTTAGAAATAAACTAATTTTTACATTTTTTATAATTCCCCCTCTAAATCCACAAAATTATCCCAATTTTTCTTCACAATTCACAATTTTTCTTCACAAAAATCATCATGAATTAACACAATTAACACAATTAATTTTCTTCACAAAAATCATTAACAATTCACAATTAACACAATTAATTTCTAAAATCTAATTTTTTACATGAGATCACCATGAATTAGTGACAATATACAAGAAATAAAGAAAAAAATTTAGAAGAATTTACCTTCAATTAGTCGATGCCCTAATTTGCAGTGAACTCCGACGATAACGACGGCGAGAGCGCTAAACTCCGGCAGGATGGGAATTGGCGGCGGAGGCGGTCGGAAACGGGGGCGGCACCGGTGGTGAGGGCCTTGGTCGACGGCGGTGGTGGTTGGGGATGAGGGAGAGAGAGGCTAGGGTTTTCGTTTGAGGAGGAGAAGTGAGAGACAAACGAGACTTCACGTGACTTGCGCCGGCGGTGGGGGCCTTGGTCGATGTCAGTGATGGTTAGAGACAAACGAGACTTCACGTGACTTGCGCCGGCGGTGGGGGCCTTGGTCGATGTCAGTGATGGTTAGGGATGAGGAAGAGGGGCTAGGGTTTTCGTTTGAGGAGGAGCCGTGAAGTCTGTTTGAGGATCGACTGACTTGCACCTTTTATAGTCAGCCCAACACTCCACGGGAGTTCAACTCCCGTGGAGTTGCATGAAAAAATTGTCAGAGAATCGATCTCTGGCAATTGGGGACTGTAACTCCACGGGAGTTCAACTCTCGTGGAGTTTTCGCCCCTACAATAGACTCCACGAGAGTTGAACTCCCGTGACTCTCGTGGAGTTTTCGCCCCTACAATAGACTCCACGAGAGTTGAACTCCCGTGGAGTTTGTTGAATGTTAAAAATTTTACGGGAGTTCAACTCCCGTGAAATTTATTCGACAAATTAAACTTCACAGGAGTTCAACTCCCGTGAAGTTTAAAATTATGGTAAACTTCACAGGAGTTGAACTCCCGTGAAGTCTCGTAATTTTTTTTTCCAGAAACCGACCTGGTTTCAGCGTCAGGGCTGAAACCAGGTCGGTTTCTGCAAATAAGTATAAAATAGGTTGGTTTTTGCAATTAAATGTCCAAAAGTGTTTATTTTGAAAATTTGTCCAATTTGATTAGTTTCTTACCTTCTATTATACTTTTTTCCCATTTTTCTTCATATATATTTTGTATCCTTTTTTTTGCGGTTGATAAATTTCTTGAGCATCTTAGATCTGATAAGAAGTAATGATTTAGGGCATGTTTGTTTGCACGGAAGTAATTGTGAAGTAGATGAAGTAAAAGCTACTTCTGCTACTTCCAAGCAAAAAAGTGTATTTGGTTCTCTGAAAAACTTACTTCCAATACTTTCCTAAATGCTTATGTGGCGCCTACATATCATCCTTACTTTCAAAATATTTTTCCAATCCTCAATACTCAAAAGTAGCTCGGAAGTAGTTGAAATGCATATTAATTAGGACATAAATAAATTTTTTATTAATATTTCCTTTATTAGTTACTTCTAACAACTTTTCATTGATAAAATTATTTCCTAGTAATATTTCCAAATGTTATCCAAACAAAAAAAGTAAATAAAGAGGAAGAAGTTCTACTTCTATTACTTCTAAAAATATATGAAACAAATAAAAAAAATGCTATTTCTACTACTTCCTACTTCATAGCTTTGAAAGTTACTTCTATATATAACCTACTTCTTACTTCTAATACTTCCATTATCCAAACGGGTCCTAAACCATGACGATATGGTGATAACAGGGCTACCAGTATCTGTAGGATCTATCTTCCCCCATTTGTAAAAAAAATCTTAGGTGCCCCATGAGCACTATGCCACACCAATAAGAAAATACTATGCGACACAATTAATCATTTGTAAATAAGAAGGCGGTGAAATAATAATAATAATAATAATAATAATAATAATAATAATACCAATAATAATAATAATTTATTATTATTATAATTATTATTGCTACACACCCTCCTCCTATTGGTGTGGTATATACTCAATTGCGTAGCCAGGAATTTTTTTTGTCCTGGGCGAAAAATAAAATATGTTAATAATTGTAGAGGTTGTACATATATTTACATAAAACATTACAAGATCAATTCATTTCTTTCTTTTAAAACACCAGTGGGAGCTTTCAAAATTGTGCTCGTGGAGAAAATAAATATACTAATTGACATTCTAATTATATGTCAAGAGATCACATCTGACGATAAGTTCTAAGTTGTTGGCTTGTGAACTAATAATGTAATATCAAGATAACAAAATCATTACTTGTGCACATTTTTCTTTGAATAATATATCAAACTGAACAAGCCAATGATAATTAATGTTTGTGATCTTTGTACAGGTGGTGGCCTTCGGCCACTTTCTTGTTGCCCAGGGCAAGCCTATCCTGTTGGATTTAATCTAATAAATCTATTTGTGGGTACATATGATTAATCAATGTGTATTGCTATCTTTCAGGATAACCCACTAAAGTGATCAATCAAGTTGGGTTAATGGGTATTTAAATAAGTCATGGGGTTATATGTGCAGATACCAGGTTATAATTATGATTTATTGAGGGGCCAAATTACAAAAGTATAACATCTATAAATAAGGGGTTATGGTCCCTAACCTAGGGTTACATTCTCTAATTCTCTTCACCCTCATCTAGAGAGAAATTCGGCTATAGAGAAAACCCTAAGGTTAGAAGATTCAAAACCCATCTCAAGATTCATCTATGGATTCAGGTATAAGCTTCCGCTCTTTATGATTCTTTTTAATCTCTTCGAATTAATCAATGGCTTTATGGTTTTAGATCTCACGTTTTATGATTCAGATCTAACAAGTGGTATTAGAGACACCTTTGATTAATTCTTAGGGATTTAAGTTCTTAAAATTGGGTTTTTTGATCTTAAAATCTCTGTTTTTGGTTAAGATCTGTTCTCGGATGAACAGTAACGTTCGGATGAACAGTAAAGTTTTTCGGATGAACAGTAAAGTATTTTTTCGGATGAACGGTAACTAAAAAATCGCTGGTGAACAGTAAAATTTTGGAATTTTTTGGATTTTTCTTCTGTTTTTTCTTGGATCCGGATCAAGAAAACTCATTTTTTCGATTCTAGATCTGTTTTTGAATTAATGGCGGCGGTTTCAGTTTGAAACCCTATGGATTCGTGCGTGAAAACGTGATGAAAATTAAGGAGGTGGTTACCTCAAACGAACTTCGCGTTCGTTCTCAAGTGAGCTTCACGCTCAAACTTAACCGAACTTCGCGTTCAGTTCTTAAGTGAGCATCACGCTCAAATCAAACGAACCTCGCGTTCATTCTAAGGTGAGCCTCGCGCTCAGTTCTAAGGTGAGCCTCACGCTCAATTTAAACGAACTTCGCGTTCGTTCTAAGGTGAGCCTCGCGTTCAGTTCTAAGGTGAGCCTCGCGCT